AGGACAAAGACAGAGAGAGAAGCGACAAGGACAAACACAGGGACAAGGAGAGGAGTGACAAAGACAAACACAGAGACAAGGACAAGGAGAGAAGTGACAAGGACAAGCACCGTGACAAGGACAGGGACAAACACAGGGATAAGGACAAAGAACGCAGTGACCGGGAAAAGTCAAGGGACAAGGACCGCCACCGCGACGAAAAGAAGCACAGCAGCAGCAATGGGGAGAAGAAGGAACGCGACAAGGACCGCCACTCGTCATCCAGTCACAGGAGCCCGCACAAGGACAGAGATCGCGAGAAACACAAGGACAAGGAGAAGAGTCGTGACAGAGAGAAGGAAAAGGTGGGTGGCAGCTTCTTATGTTCCCAATTTAAAGAGTAGGGCGAGATCCACCCCAGCTTATTTTACCTAAAGATTAACCACCCTAATGCTGTTTGGGTGGAGGTGAGATTAAGTTAGATTGGTTATGTCAAAAAGTATATTTGACATTTGGAAATTTTAACTGTACAGGTTTTTTTTTCCCCGCCTTGGGATGATAAGCAGGAGAGTTATTATAAAATAGTATAGTTTATTATTACAAGAAACATGACTACAATAGACTTCCTCCCTCACTCTTGTATCCCCAGCTTGTTTGAAGATGTACTGTAGTATTGCATTACCAGTCTGTTCATTTCATTGTCCTGACTTTGCATTGAATATCCTGGTACATAATGTATAGCCATTTCTGTTATTCACATTTTTAATATTGCAATTGTGTTTTTTTACCAATAAGTTGATCATCCGATTCAGTTTTCACTTGCTAATAATATCACGTCACTTTTGGCATTATTTTTCTGAATGTAGATGTAGAATGAGGAAGATCACTAACCATTATCACTTCTTGTACTTAACCCCTTCATTATGGGGATGGCACTTCTAATATTTATTTTTGGCTAATACCAGACTATTTACTTCAGCTCAGAGGAGTCTCCATACACAAGAGGGTTAATGATTTGTACTTATGTGTTTATTTAGCCAGAAGAACACAGATACAGAGTCAATAAAATATCATAATGTTAACATGGCTGAGCCAGTTGAGAGCCCAAGTTTTCTTGAAGGCACCTAATATATATACTGTGTTAAGTTTTGTTGGTCTTTGGAGTCAAAAGCTCAGTATAAGTACACTACATGCAGTATCAGCATTGAATATACAAGGCTGTCAAGTGGTCACTTACTTCTAATTTGATTTCATAGTTGTAGAGGCATAACCAGCCAAGGAGATATACTGTAATTTTAACATTCTTTATACTTTTTAACCTCTTGTGTACAGGATCCCTTCTGAGCTGAATAAAATTGTTTTGCGTTAACCGAATAAAATATTAAGTGATGTCACCGTAGTGAAGGGGCTAACAATAGCCTTGGTGGTATCCCTAAAATTAGAGACACTGTAGGTAAGATTATTTGCTTTCCCTCTTGTGTGTCACACATTGAATTGTAATGTTCACTTATACCTTAAATATTACAATTTTTTTTTTATCCTTAAGTCTTGGATTTAATTTTTTTGAAACTGCTACAAGAATAAACCTTAAATACTGTATGGTTTTTTACAGGGGTGCAGTTTAAGTCAGTGCATTGTGCTATGATTTCTTTTCTTCTTGTGCTATGTTACTGACCGCAATGTTATGTCCTGAACTGAAATATGTTGTACTTTTTTAATATTCAATAGGTTAAGATGGAGGTAAAGGTGGAAGCACTGGAGCCTGAGCCTATCAAAGAAGAAGATATGTGTATAAAAGAAGAACAGTTAGAGAGTGAGGAGGAGGACAAGCTGGTGATCAATGAACCGGTGAAGGAAGAGCCGATGGAGGAGGAGGAGGATGAAGGCCTTCCGGTGAGTAAAGAAGAGCCTGAGGAACAGCTGGATGATGATGAGGATGATATACCATTGGTGAGTGTTAGAATACCTGTATACTAGCTAGATGTGCTGGAAACTCCACCCACATCATCATCTTCTCAGCCTTCATTAGCGCTCGTAGATCGTATACATCGTTCTTGGCATGGTGACCTGGGGAAATGGCTGTGCAAGTACCATCAACTTTTTTATAGATTTTTTAGTATTTTGTAGATTCCTAAGTAAGGCTGCATGGTTTGTATTACTGTTATAATTTATTTGACTTTGCATAATTATAATACAGTAGTTATATCCAGACTACACTGTGATGCAAGTATTAGTGAGCCATTGATAGTTATTAATGTACTGGGTATCTCTGTGGGTGGTTGTACTTTATGGGAAAATTGTAGAAATGCTGTACAAGATTCCAGTAAATTGATGTAGAAATTGAGGTTTTAAAGCGAAGAAAGGTAAATTATGAACTAAATGTGGAGCAGAGTGATTGTTGGCGTCATATTTAGATAGAGGAAAAGAGAACACGAGAAAAAAATATATGCCAGCATAAGGAAATCTTTGGGTTAGAAGTGTGGGCGTGTGCACAAGTTGTATGATTCATTTTGAGGTATGTTATGTATATACCTGTATACTGTACTGTATTTGATTTATTCTGTAATGTTCTGATATAGTATTTTTATCTTCTTGAGGGTGTGGTGCATATATTTTGCATGACTCAACATATGTGAGTACTGTACTGTTAGCTTTGGATGTACTAGTCTAGCTAGAATTATAGTTTATAGCAAATTTTTATGCATGACACATTACAGTACATATATTGTTTTGAGCTGCAAACCTTCATGTGTGTGTGTGTGTGTGCAAGTGCGTACGTACAAGCAAGTTAGGTTCTTGACAACCTTGCTTACACCACATTCATATAAATTGAACTTATTATTAGGAAATAGAGAAGTAACGGGGGTGCATGCCTGGACCTTCAACACCACCACCCCCCCCCTCAAAATTTCGTTTTGTAAACAAGTAAAATATTTTAATATATACCCGGTATAATACAGGGTGTTTCGGAAATGTGTTTCATAATTCGAGGGTATAGTCCTGAGACATACTTAGGATAAATGACTCCATGACCATAGTGACAATCAGGCATGGGACGAAGCCAAGCCTCCGGCTTTGAAGCTGAAACCATTGGAATGTGACAAAGCTAAAGCCAGACATTAAAAAAGTCATGAAGCTGATGCCAAGGCTTTTTGTGGCTTCAGAAAACCTAAACAATATTATTTATATGAAATACATATTGATGGGAATATTTATGGTGTCCTAAATTGCAGCAAGGCTTTGAAATAAGTTGACTTTTTTTAAGCTGATTGTTCTTGGGGTAGCTGGAGTAGCTACAGGAAATGCAGTGAAGGGAACATTATCTGGACCATAGGGTGTCACCATGTCCGACGTTTCTTGCTGTTGATCGTCAGTTACAATAAACTCTGGTATCTTTCGGCCATGTGCAGTTGCGATTGACAGAGGGAGACCACAAGACTGGCAGATATTCAACACAAAGGAGAAAATATTGGGCATCATTGAAGACGATCCTGGGACAAGTATTCGACGAATCGCCAATGAGTGCAGGTGTCGGTTTCTACCATTTGGAAGACCCTACACAAACATCAGCTTCATCCATACCACCATCAAAAGGTCCAACATCTTACTGAAAATGACTATCCTCAGCAGCTGCAGTTTTGTCAATGGTTGCTAAGGCAGAATGCTCACAAATGTTGGCTTCCATCTTTAAGTCTTTTTTTTACAGATGAAACAACGTTTGCAAGAGATGGCATTGTTAATGTATGCAATACGCATGCTCATATCTGCTACCCCAGCGAGTGACAGGTGAAACGTGCACACATTTTCTTGAGGTCATTTTGCTAATGATGCTTCAGGATGTGCCCATTAGGATACGTCAACAATTGTGGTACACGCATGATGGTGCCCCTGCTCATTTTGCTCAAGTAATAAAAGAATTCCTAAATGATGGGTATCCTGTTCCATGCCTACCTTGATCACCTGACCTAAATCCAGTTGACTTATACTTGTGGGGTCAAGTTAAAAAACAAAGTGTATGCTACAGAGGTCCCAGCTAGTAAGGAACTGTGGCGTCGAGTGCAAGGCATTGCCACACGATGGACTTTTCAGACATGTACAACAATCACTTTTGCAACGGCTGAAGCCTACATTCAGGAAGAGGGTCATAACTTTGAACATTTACTGTAAAATTCATATCACATTGCATATGATTACAAATAAAGTGTGTTATGGGACATACTTGTCTTGAAGTTATAGTAATGTTCCACAACATGAAAACACAAGGAATATTCATAATACACTAGAAACTGCTATAATATATTGAATATTAACCCTTAAGCCCCAGGGCTAAATCGAGAAAAAAATCCAAAATTAATTAAAAAAAATGGTGGGAAAATAGGCGGATGTTCTGGAACGTCACCCAGGGCCAAAGGGTTAAACATATTTACACTATATACACCAAAAGGTGAAAATGAAATTACATCACCTACAACTGAGAAACAACACCAGGGACAAAAAGACAAGAACCTCTAATCCTACAATTAGCACATGGAATAAGTGTTACCTATCACAATATACATTATAATGATAACCCTAATCTAAATACACAGAGTAAACTTAGCTGTGAGGTGACCATTCAGTAGCACAAACGCAAAACCCTCAGAGACACCGGATACGTGTACACAGCGCAGGGCAGAATAACAGCACGTCAAGAAGCTAGGGGAGGGAGTCAGCCACTGGTAGACTTACCAACTAACCTCACAGTGGCCAGCTTGTCTATTACTCAGTACATGGATGTAAACATTGACAAAAATAATGCATAATTTATAATACAGGTACTGTACAACAATATACTATGTAACCTAGAACAATACATAAACAAACATAATACAAACAACTTGCAAGATGAAAATGAAAAACATAATGAATAATTCGTTCCTTGAACGAGTTGACTACCTATTTCTCATCACAATTGTACCTGCAACACTATATATTTTATTTATACTCCATAGATTTTATCTCATTCCAACCCCAATTGTCATGTGTTATAACTCCAAAACTATGGAGTAATGACACTATGGTCATGGAGTCATTTATCCTTATGTATTTCTTGGGAATACACCTCCAGAATTATGAAACCTATTTCTGAAATGCCCAGTAAAATAGATGAACATTATTCAACCTCACATTACATTACTTTTCATGGTAAAGACCAACACATTGATATTGAATGTAAGTAATTGGATGCTAAAGTCACTCATTGTGTTGAATAGCAGGAGAGAATGTATTGTGTATGCTCTTGCTTATGGCCACCCACACCTGTTGTACATGATAATGGGAAGGGAAGATGAGTGAAAGAAATGGACTGTTCTGGTCTGATACATAAACATTGCTTCCTCATTGGTTGCATTGCTTTCGAAGGCTAAGTATGCTTAACCCTATAATGTACCTGCTATAAACTTAAGCAGAATGTAGATATTGTGTTCGTTTCATCTTTTGAAAAATATTTCGTATTCATAGTAAATTTTTTTTATTTGGGAACACAAAATGATTACTGTACTACCCTGTATATTTATTTTAGGGTGTGCAATAAACAGGTAGTACCTAAAATAAAGTCTAATCATTGAGAAAATCAGACTTTATTCCTGCTGATTTTTAGGTTCCCGTTTATTGCACGTCCTAAAATACATTTAATCATTAAGGATTCTCAAATAAAATCATGACCCTTTATTTTGTGATGATAATTGAAAAAAGTAAAAGGGTTATGAAGTAATTAGATAAATTTTTAGTACCAAAACAAAACACTTAAGAGATCAGACTTGAGCCAGTGCAGTATTTAGGGTATGTAGAAAGATTTTGTTTACACGATTCATGAAAGTGTGGGGGTGGGGGGGGGGAGGACATCAGGTTGGTGAGGGCAGTGTGAGGGGAATTTCATTATTTTGAAAACAATTTTAATTAACCAAGGCTCACTTGCTCTCTCTCGCCTCCTTCAGTCACATCGGACACATATAAAAGAGGAAGATGATGAGGAGGATGACAAACCTTTGGCCATTCGCAAGAAGGTGAAAACAGAACCCAAAGAGAAGAAGAGGAAAAAAATCAAAGAAGAAGATGAGGATGATGATTTTAAGCCGGTAAGATAGTTGTAGTGTGTCCATTTTCATATTGAAACTTCCATATAATGGACTTCTCTTTGTGTAATCTGTTATATGGAGGTTTTATCATCAAACAGACCTGGCCTTGATAGCCAACTCACCTCTCCATATAGTCTGTTAAATAGAGGTTTCACAGTACAGTATTATTATTTTTTAATGGGGCATTTCAAATGGAGGATAATTAAGAGAATCACAAACAAAAACTAAATTTAATTATGCTTTTACAGGGATAATCTCTCTGCTGATGCTGAGTTATGCTGCAGAGCACATTGTAATACAGTATTCCTTGCTTCTGGGAATGACAGGGTACATTTACTTAGTTTGAGATAGTCTTTGGGGGATGGATGGACATGGTGATGATTGGTGATCTTAAGTTGTATGGTGAAGGGCCATAAGTTAAACAGATAGATCAGGGGCGTAAAAAATATGGCTTGCATGCCACACTTGTATCTTTTACTCTCCTAGCTAACACTTAAACTTGGTTAAATCAAACTCGCCTTTGAAAATGAGTTTGACAGACACGCCCTGGTCCTTGGTTGTGTGGTGAAGGAATTTAAGTTAAGATATATACTAAGGTCTGTTTTGGTGGAAGAAGAGCACATTTAGAAGAACATTTCTTTTTGCATAAGGAGTGAATAGTAGCAGACAAAAGGAGACATTGGTATAACATCTAGCCACCTTGCAGTAGTGGCAGAAAGAGGGTGGCACTAACTGTATCTTATGTGTCACAATCACTACTTTTAGCCCTATATGTTTGAATCAATGATCAGTAGGTGTGATTATATATTGTGTTAACCTAATCAGTGGTTATCTCAATCACATGCCTTATCATTATTAACAGGTAATTATGTTATGCTCACCTTAACCCTTAAATGGCAACCATCATAAGTGAAAGTTGGAAGTTTCAGGTTTCTTGAGGTCCATTTTGCCTTTATTCAGTGGGGGGGGGGGGTTAGGGATTCATTTGCTGCTGGTCAGGGTCAACACCTATGAATTTACCTGAAGATACAGTATCATTTCATTCTTTTACTACAGGAGAAGAAGAAAGTTAAGAAGGAGAAGAAAGAGAAGAAATCAAGGGGATCAAAGTTAATGTCTTCTCCGGGGTCCCAATCAGAGTCTCCCACCAAGAAGCCCAAGAAGGAGGAGGAGCCAGTGTGGAAATGGTTTGTACTATTTGTTATCATCATTGATTATGGCCATTAGAGGCATATTTTATCACTGTTACATATACTGCTTCTGATAGCAAGTTAGTGCTATTTTAATTGTTAACATCATCATTGTTGTTATGGCCATTTTAGAAATAGTTTGTCACTGCTACATACTTGATATCCGGTTAGTACTACTGTTATTATTATCAGCAGCATCTTTTGGTCATTGTAGGAATATTTTATTACTGCTACATACTTGATAGCCAATTAGTGCTAATTTTGTTGGTCAACATTGTGCTACAATAACAGGCCAGTTAATGTCTTGTATGTACAACATCACTTATGGAGGCACTGGATAAGTAGCGATAGTAACCTTTTTCCTAATGATTAAGCCTCCACACATTTTCAATCTTGATATTACTCTAAATGAAACGTCTTCCTTATTTGTGTGTTCTCACCTTTCCTCCATGTATATGTGTTATGCAAGTTTCACAGTAAGAAAGAATTAAGGTTTGGGTTGTAACATGTGAGATACTGTCATCACAAAAAAATCTTAGTCAGCGCAGATATTTGTTTGCACTCTACCTTCCGCTTCACTTGGGCATTTCAGTGAACTTCGCACACATGAAAAAAGTTATTAGGGCAAAGATCAAGGTCACTGTTTAGAGTGAAAAGTCAACTCACTTATGGATCTGTTTCTTGTAATACAGACATTAACTGCCTGTGTATGGGGGTTTCTCTCTTTCTGCTGAATAAAATCAACTGGTGTTAGCCATAGTGAGGGGTTAGATGATAAATGAATTTGGGATGTAGCATTTGTTTACTCTTTCAGGTGGGAGGAAACCAAACGTGATGACGGACTTAAGTGGACTTTCTTGGAACACAAGGGACCACTAATGGCCGAGGCGTACGTGCCGCTTCCGAGTAATGTCAAGTTCTACTACAACGGGGAGCACATGCATCTTAGTGAGGAAGCCGAGGAGGTGGCTGGGTTCTACGCCCGTATGTTGGAGCATGATTACACCACCAAAGAGGTCTTTAACAGTAACTTCATGAAGGACTGGAGAAAGGTGATTATATTTGATTACCTTTTCAGGTTGATCTTGCTAGTGGTGTCTGTCATGGCAGGGATGATTGTGGATAATGGAGAATGCTAGTGGTGCATTCAGTTGAGGAAAATAGTGAGTGCTAATGATGCTGTCAATTAGGATGATAGGGAGTGATAAAGGTGCATTTCATTGAGGATAGTGAGTGCTAATGGTGCATTTTATTGTAGATGATAGAGAGTGCTAATGGTTCATTCAACTCCTTGCAAATGTAGGTTAACTTTGTTGTTCCTGGTGATGCTCATTTTCCTTCCAATGTGATGGATGATTGATAAAAAGAGATTGACTGTTGTTCAGAATTTGTATTTACAGTAGTAAAAGTAAGTTTGACTAATGTAATAAAATTGAATAGGAGTATTATATAATATAGCTTGGAATAATGTTTATTTTTATTTCAGGTTATGACATCTAAGGAGAGGGAAGTCATTACAGACATTAGTAAGTGTGACTTTCGCCGTATTCACGCTTATTATGTGCAACAGAACGAGGATAGAAAAAATCGCTCCAAAGAAGAGAGGAAAGCTCTTAAAGAAAAGAACGAAGCTCTCATCGCTGAGTACGGTTGGTGCAACATTGACAGTCACAAACAGCGCATCGGCAACTTTAAGATAGAACCTCCGGGGTTATTCCGTGGCCGTGGGGAGCATCCCAAACAAGGCATGTTGAAGAAGCGCATCATGCCAGAGGATGTCATCATCAACTGTTCCAAGGACTCTGTGATACCCAAGCCACCTGCAGGACATAAATGGAAAGAAGTGAGTCATTCTTACTCTACCGAAGAAGCAGTATATTTTGCAATTTCTAACTGGACTGTCTGTAAAAATGAATAAGATATGTTTTAGCTGTACATTACAGTACAGGTACTGTACTAGTGTTTTGTGTGTCAGTTCTTCTTGACATTGAATGAGAATTTTCCAAGGACTATTTTTCTAAACCTTTACCCTAGCAGTCGGCCTGGGCTTTATATATATATATATATATAATATATATATATATATATATATATATATATATATATATATATATATATATATATATATATATATATATATATATATATATATATATATATATATATTTTTTTTCTGGATGGTAAAGCATCAAATATATTTATACACTATATCTTTTTTCCAGGTACGAGCAGATCCATCAGTAACGTGGTTAGCCTGTTGGGTGGAAAACGTTCAAGGTCAGACCAAGTATGTAATGCTAAATGCTGCCTCTAAACTCAAGGGTGAAAAAGATTGGCAGAAATATGAGATGGCTCGAAAATTGCACCGGCGTGTGGACAATATTCGGGAACAATATAGGTTCGACTGGAAGAGTAAAGAAATGCGGATAAGACAACGTGCTGTTGCTCTATATTTCATTGATAAGGTAACTGTATTTTTTCTATGGAAATATTAGTTTTCATCAGATAGTGTTAAATGTACCAGTTTGTTAAATATACCACTATATTAAATTACCAATATGTTAAATATACCAGTGTTTTATATAAACATATATATATATATATATATATATATATATATATATATATATATATATATATATATATATATATATATATATATATATATATATATATATATATATATATATATATATATATATATATATACACACACACACAGGTTGTACCTCTCTAGTCCGGCATTCTGTGGTCCGGAAACGTGGTCCGGAACGATTTTAGTTTGTCCAATAGGTAGATAGGCAGCTTTTTTTTTATCTGTTTTTTTATCTTATTATTATTATTATTACAGGAGTATTAAATTTTTGCCCCTCAGGCCCCAATGTGGGTCAGTGACCTATGCCCGGGTGGGCTAATCCCCTAAAAAAACAAAACAACAAAGCCGCGGGAAATTAAGGTTTGTTTACATCCGGCAGTTCGGCTGCTCTCTCTCTCTCTCTGCTTGTCTATACAGAGTACAACATTTAACCCTTCAATATATATGAGCAGTAAATAAGTGTTGCTTTCATATTCTTATGTAGAGTAATGACAATATGTTTTCACATGTGCGCACTTACATACGAGCAGTCTCACTTTTTTTTTTTACCATTAATGGTTAGCTACTTATATTGTTCCATTTATTAACATTAAATAACATTACAGGTACTTCAAGCAACCATATTCATTTTTTACATTAATTTTACTACAGCTAAACTCAGGGTCTTATTTTCTTCAGTTTTATATGTAGAACCAATCAGCCACTGGTTTCATAAGCTTTAACATAAACAATGCCGGCAGCCGTCTCGTCTCCTCTAATATTCCACATATTATTAATAAATTGTATTGTTAATTTTGCACACACGTACATTAATTCAATAAAAACAAATTCAGAAACATTAATGAAAATATATATGAACAGTAAATAAGTGTTGCTTTCATATTCTTTTGTAAAGTAATGACGATATGTTTTCACGTGTGCGCATGCGCACTTACATATGCGATCTCTCTTTTTCTTTACCATTATCGTTAGCTAATTCTATTGTTCCATTTATTAACATTAAATAACATTACTTAAAACAACCATATTAATTTTACTACAGCTACAACCAAGGTCTTATTTTCTTCAGTTTTATATGTAGAACCAGTCAGTCACCGGTTTTGTAATCAACGAAAACAATGCTGTGTCATTTCCTCGTGTGTTTTAATTTTCTACGTATTATTAATGAATTGTATTGCGCATTTTGCACACATAAACATTAATTCAATAAAAAAGACATTCAGTAATAAACAATAATGAATCTTTTGTACATAAGAGAAATGACGCTGTTTACACGATTATGCACGTCGTCTGCACGTTGACGGGCCGTTCAAACCCGTCAAAATTCAAGTTTCCGCCGTTAAAATTTTTATTTATTTAATTTTTTGTGTGTTCCAATAAAATACATTAAGAATTAAAAACTTGCGAAATTTGAGAAGCTACTATATGACATTTAACCCTTCAATATGTCTTCAAAGAGACCATGACGCAGAGAAAGTGGTGCTAGTGCTTCCAGGCATAAGCACAAGTCACTATCTATCCAGGAAAAGGGTGAATTTCCATGGTCCGGCACCGGTCAGGTCCCGAGGTTGCTGGACTAGAGAGGTACAACCTGTATATATATATATACAGTGACCCCTCGTTTAACGAATTTCTTACGAACCGACCTCAACATGTTTTCGCTTGCACTGACCGGGCAACCAGCTTTAATATCAGTCCGCCAATACATTAATCGGTTCTAGGGCTTAAATTCCTTTCTATTTTAGTAAATATCAAGAAGTTTATACTATTCAATAATTTTAAAAGTTTAATATTAATTTTTTAGTCATTTTAACAATTTTTTAGTCATTTTAACAATTATTGAACATAATTGAAGGTAAAGTGACTAGTTTAATGCGCGGCATCCAGCCTCTTAACACAGCAAACAGGCGTTAGTCTCTCTCTGTTTTCACTGGAGGTAACATCTTGCTTGAGACTCTCTTCAACTAAACGCTTTTTTTCTGTTTCCAAGCAAATTATTGGTCATTTTGAAATATATTTTACATATTGACAATATATAATGCAGTGCAGTGTTGATTTAAAGAAAATAATCTTGAATTACACCAAGAGCTAAAATTTTATGGGTGAAATGGCGCCATGGGTGACTTCTCTTCCACCAATGCCTTCTCTTCTTCCTTCTCCTCCACCCCCATTCTAAATCCCATCATCATCATCAGGAGCCTTCTACATACATACCTCAAAGTAAGTGAACTTTTCTACCATTTTTGTTGAATTTAGGAAATTTTCGGTGAGCTGGAACCAATTACCCAAAACCCATTGAAACAATGGTTTTGCTGGTTAACGAACGACCTTCTGGAACGGATTGAGTTTACAATCGAGGTCACTATATATATATATATATATATATATATATATATATATATATATATATATATATATATATATATATATATATATATATATATATATATATATATATATATATATATATATATATATATCAGTATGTTAAGTATACCAATACTGTATGTTAAATGTACCCTACTACAATAGATCCATGAGTGTTAATCATAAGAGCAAGCCAAGTACCGGGTATGCTGAATTCTTTGCCTGCCGGACATTAACCGGTTATCTTTTCCCAACAGCTAGCACTTCGAGCGGGTAACGAGAAAGATGAGGACCAGGCAGACACAGTCGGTTGCTGCTCTCTGCGTGTAGAACACATATCGCTACATGAAGAGAAGGATGGCAAGGAGTACGTGGTAGTGTTTGACTTCCTGGGTAAAGATTCTATTCGGTATTACAATGAGGAGTCGGTGGAGAGGAGGGTATTCAAGAACCTACAACTCTTTAAGGAAAACAAGGAGGATGGAAATGATCTCTTCGACCGTCTCAATGTGAGTTTTTTTTATATACAGTAGGTACAATCGCACCGATTTGCACATTACTATTAATACATCTTGTATTGTACATGAGCAAGTATTTTTGTGTTTCTGATTGACCTGATTTTAGTTAACTAGTAATTTACTTGAATATGAGAAGGTACACCATCACAGTCACACATTTGTACATGGTGTACAGGTTCCTCTCTGAACTGAATTACATTGTCTGGCAGCCAAATAAAATATTGAAAGTAGTATCACCTTAGTGAAGGGGTCAATGAATGAGGGGTAAGCTGTGTTTCTGTTGATGCTGGCCACTGTACCAGAGAACAAGGGGCTGTAGAGTAAAGAAAAAATATTGTACTGTAATGTAGTTTAGAAGTATTCCTGGTACATAAAGATGTCATGGAGTGGATATACTGTAGTATAATATTGGTCTGGAGGTACCTTGTAAGGGTTAAAGTTTGGCCTGATACATCCTTTATTAGATGACTCGTTGAAGAACTTAAGAAGCAAGAATTGTCTCCTCAGTACTGTACTGTATGATTTTTGTGCAATGAGAACTGTTTTCTCCCCCATGTGTTGGTAAAGGTTGTAAAATCAAGAAAACTGGGCAAATACTTGTGTTTGAAAGAATTCTATGTAAGGATTTAATTTTTTGTTTCATATATATTCTTATGATGGAATTTGACTACCATTGTTGTTAGTGTATTGATAGGGAATTTCAATTCGTATGTTTTTGCTTCATGGAATTGAAATTTACATTTATCATTTTCTTTTCAGACGCAAATCCTGAATAAACACTTGAATGAGTTGATGGACGGTTTAACTGCTAAGGTTTTCCGTACGTACAACGCTTCTCGCACTCTGCAAGAACAGCTTGATCTCCTTACAAATGAAGAAGACCCACTGCCTGCTAAAGTTCTATCATACAACAGAGCAAATCGAGCTGTGGCGTTGCTATGTAACCATCAACGTGCAGCCCCCAAGACCTTTGATAAGTCAATGGCAAATTTACAGAAGAAGATTGATGATAAGAAAGAGCAAATAGAAGAAACAGAGAGGGATTGCAAGCAGTTGAAAAAGGCAGCAAAATCAGGCGGCTCCCAGAAAGAAAAGATGGGATACGAGAAGAAGAAGAAGGCCCTGGAACGCTTGAAGGAGCAGTTAGAGAAGCTGGTACTCTCTGCAACAGACAAAGAGGAAAACAAGACTATTGCTCTAGGTACTTCTAAGCTCAACTATCTGGATCCTCGTATCTCGGTGGCGTGGTGCAAGAAGTATGGAGTTCCCGTCGAGAAGGTTTACAACAAAACTCAGCGTCAGAAGTTCCAGTGGGCTATTGACATGGCCACTGCTGAATATAACTTCATGGGAGAGCCAATGAACATGTCTAGGAATGAGTATGGTGATGGTGAAGAAGAGGAAGATGAGTAGACAGTCAGTCATATTCAGGTGTTGACTAATGAATGACCAAAGATGATATTTTGGTAACTTGCACAGTGAAGATGTATTGTTGGAGTGGTCTTGTACATCCTCATTCGTACCCTTAATATAGGCCCAATATGGTCTGAGTATTTTTAGTCTCACTAGGTTATAGTGAAGGGAATGTGCAACTTTGGGACAGAACACAAAGGAATAATAGAGTTGTATTTTATTGAGGTTAAATTGTGTACCTTTAATATTTATTACACAAATCCATAATTTTAAGTATTTGTATGTAGTTTTGCTATGCTAAGCTATTTTGCGTGTATGAATTAATTTTTCTATTCACTAGTGTAAGTCGGGAATTGTTCACAGGAGTAAAGAGGTTTTTACTGGACATGAGACTTGAGGCGCTGTGGGTCGATAAGTTCAATTCTGTAACTTGTGTTAAATAGTTATTTATCTATAGTATATTCTTAGATATTTAATATAATTTTATATGAACTGTTATATATATAGGAATGTAGTAAATGAATTTGCACTTCAGATACTGAACTATACAATACATGTCAGATTGATTGTGGACAAAATTTCTAAGCAAAGAAGGGAGGGAGGGAGGGAAGTGTTGCTCCTGTGCAGTCTGTACTAGTTACATCTTCATGATCACATGCCACTCTTTTATTAAGTTTCAAGGAATAGAATCAAAACGGTCCTCAAAGGCTGTCTAAGTATTATCCAGATAATTTAGACTGTTTAGGTCTACAGATTTTATTTATTCTGTGATCTGACTTTTTAAAAGTTTTAATTATGCTGCTCCTGTGTTCTGACTAGTGGTGACTGATAATCATCACTGTATTGGATGAATAAGTCTATTTGATCTCTCAAAGTTGGTCAAAAAACATAAGGAAATCTTAGCCAAGGATTTTATTAATCTGCCAAGGTGAAGTTACTCAACATTTTATAACTTGGATGCAATTTTAATTTAAAATTGTTGCATCTTAACTTATCTGCCACTGTAGAGGAGTAAAGCTCTGGATTATTTACCCACATCACATGGGGTTGAGCCTTGGAACAGGCATTGGCTGGTGAAGTGTTGTTCAAGAGAGCCGCTCATATTCTGGTCAGGCTCCCAGACTAGCTGACCCTTTTTGCCTGGGAGGTGGCAACCTACATTTTTACTCATCATTTTTTTTTTAGAATTGATTTTGGGTTTAGTTAGAGGAAGGTTGTGTTGGGCAGCTGGTGGCTCTGGCCATGTGGCTGCCACCCGCATCCCCTGGTGGCTGTCAACTAGATTAGTTTCTAGATTTTTAAGTTATGATCGGTGTAAGTTTATGTAGAATTTATGGAATTTAATTGTGTTAGCTGATGCACCAGCGGGATATGTATAACATCTGAGGTCATGATGTAGGCAAATTTTTAAGTGAGAGAAAATGTGCATTGTAAGTCAGCATGTGTAAGCCTTTGGAAGGAACTCATGGGACCATTCAAGCAGATATATTAATATAATTCTGGACTAAGCTGTTTGGACTTAACTGAAATTGATAAAACAAAATGCATCATGGTCTGTGTTTTGCCAACATAGAAACTCACATTAGATCTTCCCAGTTCAGCTGGCCATTCCATACCATTATGTGATATGCACCGTGTACATAATAATTATCATCAATAAACCTTCATCATGGGGTTGTTGTGTAATGAATCCTATGAAACTTAAGGTGTTCAAAGATGGCCATGGAGGTAAGGCTTTTATTTGGAGACATTGTAAAGAGATACCCTGTACTGTACCTGTCAATGTGTGAGGTAAGGTTAGGTCAAGATTATCTGTTGTATGAGGTAGTACAGTAATTACCTGGTTTATTGAAAGTCTTATTAAACACTTCCTGAGAGTTACAGTACGTATAAACAACCAGAACAATTGGTGATACAGTAGTCAAATTTGTGTTTGATACTGGGGCTACTACTCCTTATTCCTTTAACCCTCTTGTTGTCTTTTGATGTAAATTGCATTGCTAAGAGCTCCTGTGCTGGTTCAACCCATTCTGCACAGCACTATTTCAAAGTGAGCACTGGTTTATCGACCACAATATCCTCCTAGTCTCCTGGGCTGGCAGTTGGGCCTGGAATGCTCTACCCAATGTTTACTAAAACGTTTTTTTTTTCCTATTACTGATGCAATCTGCATTGATAGACTGTAGGGGGGTGAAATTGTAAACGACGCTATTTGCATTGAAAGACCACGAGGGGTTGAGATTTCTGACCATGGCCAGTATTACCGAAGGGTTGATGGTACAGGTAGTACAGTATATTTTAGATTCTGAGAGAAATAACTTTCCTGTAAGAAAAAATCATTATCTATGCTAGGGAAGCAATAAACTAGGTGACTGTTGCCTTCCTCTGGGCTTGTGGTACAAAATAGTCTCGGGTAAACTTCATAAATATGCTTGTCTTTAATGTTGACCTTGTAGTCATCATGTGAGGACATGTGATCTTTGAAAAGTATTGAATGTGTTATTGTACAGTACAGTAATTGCTTTTGCCTGAAAAAAACTTATTTTTAATAAACATAGAAAACGAAATAATTGAAAACAAATTTACCCAGTGCTGTGATCCAGAAATTAGACAATCTGCACCTCTAAACCGTCACTTTCTACGAATGTACAAAAATAGGCAGATATTAAAATATTAACTCGGAGCTCTTAGTATATTACAAATACAGTATTAGTTCTGCTTGTTTAATCATTTAGGGTATATACTGTATCAATTACACCACAAGCATTGTTTATAGTTACATGTACAGTCCCCTTCACAATTGTGTTAACAGGGCTCGTCATATAAACTTTCCACAAATCATTATCATGGGGTATTTTTTCGGTTGTAGGAAAAAAGTCACATAAAAAGGCACGGAAAAAACCTAACCTACGTGCAATGCCATCATATACAGTATATATATTGTGTTGAAAATGTGTACAAGTCATGTGACTTTTTTCCTGTGGACTTTATTTCCGTCCATTTTTTTCATATTGTTTTAATTTGATTCCATAGTATGTTTACTATTGCAAGTTTCCTTCTGTCGAATGTAAATAAACGCAGGGTGCCACACTACACAAAACCTGATAGGCCCCTAGTGAAGGGGACTGTACCTTGTGTGCTGTGGTGAGAATGTCAGGGTGTTGAGCATCAGGTGTCTGTAACTGCAGTAAACTAACTATTGTAATTTTACAGTGAGCAAACCAATGTTTCCTGTACAGTACAGTATTTAGTACAGGGTATTGAGAATAAATGTTTAACAACAAAATTTGGTATGTAAACTGTTCGATCCTTCACAGTTATGAGGTACTGTACTAAGCAAAGTACTGTATAGTAATGGAAGTAAAGTATATATGCTTCTGTACCAACAGAGTAAATTCATTCTGATAACATAGTGTACAGGAAAGATGTATTTCCATTACCTGTTATGCAATTTCTATGAATTTTGACCATACAGCAAGTAGTATTTTTCTTCGCATGTGAAGGACGTAGTAGTTCTCACTCGGTGGTGTCAGGGAAGCCTTGTATAATGTACTGTAAAAGGGAAACAGTTGTGGGCAGTGTGGTGACAGTACTCCAGATGGGGAAGTACTTCACTCTTGAAGATCGTTACGAGGGACGGACCGTCCCATAGAATGAATGACTAGATAATAAAGATTTGTTACCTAGAGTATTCCACGAAGATATTACTGTACTGTACATTGCACACGTCTTGCTGTTGCTGCCTGGTGTTCAGTGGTTAATATCTAGTTGCATTTATGGAAAACTTCTTTTTTTGTATCATACTTTATACTGATTTATTGTAGATAAATTATAAACCCCCCATTAATTTCCCTGCCTGTTCTTGCTAGTGAATCTTTTGCCTTTTTCTGCCAATTGTGCTGCTGAATTTTCTACCCGGGTCAGTCAGTCGCGTGAATGTTACAGTAGAACTGCTTGTACAAATTTTCTTGTGCAGGTATTGAAACATTGATGTGTTGAGACTGGTGTTATTACAACTTACCGGGTATTATAATTATATCAAGTATATCGTAAGTATCGCAAATATTATTCAATTTTGAAAAATACTGCCTTTCATATTCAATTTATAACATATTTTGGTTAATATATAGGACTAACTCGCCAGGGCTGCATAGCGCCGTTTGCGGCCGTATCATCTCGCGTTCAGAAAATGCCTCAAATTTCACCATATCATAGTAAGTTCTTTCTGTTTAATATACCTATTAGGTAGCTTTGGATTGGTTGGTTAGGTCTGTCTTTCATACACAAATCTTAAGTAGCGTTTTTTTTTAATATATATTTTTTTAACATTTCCACAAACCACTGTGGGGTATAGGATTGTTTGTGTTCACACTCAGGATGGGATGGAGAAAGGAAACTCACAATGTGCTCTCTATATACATGTTGTATTGGATGTGCAATGCAGCTTGGTGCTGGGAAGGCAGCATGGTTACAAGCGTGATGTAGAGAGAGCTGGTTGGTGAGGGTGCTCAGAGAAGGACAGCTGGTGGGTCGCCAGCGGGAGAGAGGACCGCCAGGCAGGCGGCGGAGGAGGAGGTGTTGCTGGCTGCGGCTGTAGGTAGAAAGAGGCAGGTCACCACGAGGTCAGGTCTTAAATAGCGTGGGTTAGTAGTTGACCCCCGCTCCGTGATGTATGGCGGCGCTGGTTGACCTAGACCACGAGGCATACACTGGGGAATTGGTGGGATCGGCTACTCAGCGACAAACAGCGTTTGTAGGGGAGAATTCCACTACAATACTCCCCCTTCCCTCCAGGCGGTGTAGGAGACTTGTTGTCTGCAGGGTTGCTTAGCACATGTGAGGCAGAACGGGCGGTGCATGCCTCATGTGAAACAACGGCGATGGCGTGGATTAGCCGGTCGCTGGATACAACTGTCTATATACACACAATCTGTGGGAGAAGAGAGGGAGAAAAAGGGTGTGTGGAGGCGATGAATGTTGTGCTTCCCTCACGGCAGGTACATAGTCGTCAGATGCGCCTGCTGGGGTGTGTGGGCCTGGGTCAGGAGCAGGGGCTGTGTCAGCAGAAGCGGATGAGGGCTCGTGACAGCAGCTGGGTCCACGACAGCAGCAGGGTGCAGGACATTAGCAGGGAGTACCTGAGGGAGAAAAGGGGTGTGGGTCCGCACTCAGGAACAGTGGCCGCGGCAGGGGTTACTGCTGGGCCGAGGTCGGCGTGTGAGGCAGGACGGGTGTGCTGGGGTCGGAAGAGGAGCGACTGTGCTTAGAGTAGCAGAGCTGCTCTAGGGTGTCTAACCTGCTGTGTAGAGACAGTAGCTGTAGAGCCGATGAGAGCTGCTTCTGGGTGGATAAGCCAGTCTTCCATGTTGCTTGAAGACTGGGAGCGTGATCAGTTTCTCCTCCATCCTGTGTGAGTGAGAATCTCCGGGAGTCACCATTACTACACCACAACAGTGTCCACCATAATATAACAATGAAAATCCGGCGTTTTTATAAGTGTTTTCAATCAATTTCGGTAGCGGGTTAGTCCTATATAATTACCCATATTTTTTTAGCATATCTTAACAAATAAAGCTTTGCTAACTAATATTGATTGGTTCAAAAGGAAGAAGATAATTAAATAATGTACGATAATGTGTGGTTGAGTACGTTTTATTGTCCTCTTGTGTACGACGACCATTAGGCCAAGTAAACAACAACAGTGACTCAAGGGGTGGAGGAAGTGAGGGCCAGTGGAAATATTTTTAATATTTTTATTTACCATTTATTCAGTAATGTCGTAATGCATGTAGAGTCTGATCCAATATGTGTATAAACAGTTCAGGTACACATAGTGGTTAATGAAATGAAGTAAAGCAAGAAAAACGTTTAATTATTATTTTTGAGGTTCCACGTATTGGGGTATTCTTAATAGGAAGGTTAAAATAACCAAGTGATTTTGGTTATATTTATGTTCATTTATTTGTTATGCAACTTTTCTAATTTTTTTCTTTTAATGTGCTCACCAGTAATGGGGTCTTGATACTACCATACACAATATTTCTAACGAACTTTCCGTACCAAATGTTTAGCAATTATTGACTTTCCATTCTCAGTATGACTTTTGGGTATTTTTTCTACAAGTTGCCCCTAATGTTCCACAATATTTTTGGGCCCAGTTATAGGTATGTCTCGTCATTTCTAACAACTTATCATTGAAACATTTCCATCACAAATGATTCGTTTTCGAGAAAATCACATTAATTTGTTACCTGAGTCCCCAGAGAGCTCCTGTGTGTTTGCATGATTGTTACTAGTTTGCAGTACACATGCACTATAGATTGGTTAGGTTAGGTTAGTTGCTTCAATACTGCACCAACTCTGTTGGGGGGGTCCTGGGGGTGGAGACACCCCATCACTCAGGGGGCTTGGCTAGGTAATATATATATATTCTGAACATTGGCGGTTAGGTCAGGATGGGTTAACACAGAAACTGATTTTGATATGAAACCTTGGTTTTTCCGAAGGGTTTTGGTGTGATTCATTCGAATTTGATAATCTTTCACCAAAACTTGGCTTGGATTTTCCAATTTTGGCGTTTCTTTACTTGTTAAAAATGGAAATTCATGCCAACTTTGGTCACTTATATAGCATATCACATAGTCTTTGCATTTCAACTTTAAAAAATGCCTATTTCCCACGGGTTCCCCAAGATTGTCAAACTAAAAAACGAGTCATATGCAATAGAAATGAAGGTCAGAATCGTTCAAAACACATTAAAAACCAATGGTAAAACTTAAGTTTTATGTCCAAAACCATTATGGGCAACTTGTAAACATTTAGCAACTTTTGGTGCATAGCTTTAAATTCATGCCAGCAAATGCGAATTGTCTTAAAGGTGACGATGGCATGATTTTGGTGAACCCAACCTCACCTCACCTCATCTAACCTTACCTTACTTGACTAAAAGATGCTCAAAGATTGTTAAGTAAATTTGGTTAAGTTTGGTTGCTTTACCGGTACGGTAATACCCCCGTTAGCTGGAATCCTTCTTAACCATAACTCTCCCATAACTGGAATTGAAATTTTCTGTGGGGCACATTTTCTGTAAAATTTCGAGAAAGTTTTCCCAGTACCCGGGAAATTTCAGGGATGAGGGAGCTTTTTCTGGGTTTTAGAGATGAAAATCAGGCGCATTTTCTGGAAATTCTGTGAAAATTGATCGGAACCCGAAAAATTACAGGGATGAGGGAATATTTTTCAGGGTTCAAGAGATGATGTAATGTGCAATTTTTGGAACTTCCGAAAATATTTGTCCGTAACCCAATAAATTCCGGGGATGAGGGAATTTTTTCCCAGCGTTAAGAGTCGTCTCGTTATCCGGAAATCTCTCATTCCCGGAAGTCCTCTGCACCAACTGTTCCTGTTAGCAGAGATGTCACATATATTTTGGAAGAACTTACATATTTTTTCCTCATTGTATATTTAGGCTAGAATATGTAAAAAAAATAAGAGAATATTGAAAACAATTATGGCAGCTGTACGGTATAGAAGTCACTACGTAATTTACTTTGACTCTAGAACATTATTAACACCGTAGGAAACATCTTTTCTGTCCTGATTAATAAGAATGAAATCAGAAACAACTTCATGTGATGATGTAGAGACATTCTAACTGTGTCCCAGCTGGTGAAGGTACAACTGTCCTGCCAGCAGATGATTGTTAATTTATTTTTTTATTTATATAGTTTAATCATTTATTGATATTTATTGACTGGGTGCAAGGGATGGGACCACTGGCAGTCACTTGTTTTACTTTTAAGTCTTGACATTGATAGGTGATCTGAAACTCATTTGATTGCAAGAGATATGTAGTACCGTACTCGGGTGTAAATGGTCTGGATATAATAGTTATGTTTCACATTCAGTTAAAATCTATTACTTTATGCTATACCAATCTTGTTTGAACAAGCACGATAACACGATGGATCCTCGTGTCACAGTCAACTTTGTGTGCCAGCGTTGCCTGCACCCCATACAGCTGGATCCTGGGTTCTCGCACCTCAATGAACACACACTTGCTGAACTTGCATGTAAGTATACTGTAATATTTAAATCTACATCTTTATATCAGTGCATATTCATAACTGTAACTACAGTATAGCACAATTGTATGTATAAACAGGCTCTGAAATATAAAGAGACTGCAATATAGCTCTGAAATATTTTGACTGGTTGGATAATCTATTAGGGTTTTTATTTATTTTTTATTTTTTATTGCCTTACACTTTTTACAATACTGTACAGTCACCAGCAAAAGTCCTGCCGACTCCCACACTGAACCATGCACCCCGAGATTCAGACTCATGACTCCGAAGCATTTATGGACAGAATATTGCATCAGTGTCTACTGCTTTGGGTTTATGAGTGAATCTTTGGGTGCATGGTTCAGCAGGAAATGCAACAGGACTTTTGTGGGTCACCCTACCTGATGTGTCATTTATGGTTGATTTGATTTTCTACATGACACAGTGCCTATATACCCTGGGGAGGAAGTAGAGTTTGACCCATCGGTGGTAGATAAGCTGGTGCCGCCCCTTCAGCTGACTGATTCTGGTCACCACCCTCATGGCTTCACCCTCGTTGGAGAATCAGGTGACACTGAGAAGACACAACCTCTTAAGGTAATACTGCACTGTTAGTCCTTAAATCTCTGATGCTTGTTGTGTGGCAAAGACATTTACCATTGTTTTAGTCATTGTAATTTGGCTGAAACAATGGTGATTGATTTGCTTTGGTGGGCAGACATTTCGTCATTAATTTATTAAATACCCTGTTTTACAGTACAGAATTTATTGTTACGTAATTTTACATAATTAGTCTGTCTTTCGAGGTGATGAAGCCATAGTTAGGTTAAGTTTATACTGAACCGATGATGAATAGTCTGGTGACGAAATGTCCTCGAACCATTTGTTATACCTGAGAAGGTGTATGAACTTGGTTCATCCTGTGGTGTAGAGTACATTACAGTACAGTATACTGTAGTCATTTGCCACTGACCAGCCTGTTATCCTTCTGGTGGAGAGATATTGTGCACATGGAAGCAAACTAATGGGATCACCTGAAGAATATCCATGCCCAACTTATTTCACCTAAAGATTAACCACCACAATGCTAACCTAACCTATTCTACTGCTAACCTAACCTCTTCCCCCTAAATACTGTTAGGGTGGCTTAATGTGTTGTCTAATGGTAGATCCTGCTGCCATATGGCATAATTTTTTTTTTAACCAAGTCCCAGGTTGCTGATCTGACTTTCTGCCTCATTTACACTCAATTGCAGGGTTTCAATTGTTTCTCTTACTATTGACAACACAACATACATATATTGTTTCTCACTATTGATTTTTTTTTACTTTATGGTTCTTTATTATTAATATTATTATTATTATTATTATTATTATTATTATTATTATTATCATTATCATCATCATTATTATTATTATTAATATTATTATTTTTGTTGTTATTATTATTGTACAGTAGTTATCATTATTATTTTATTTTTATTTAAAAAAATATTTATTATTATTATTATTATTATTATTATTATTATTATTATTATTATTATTATTATTATTAATTATTTATTATTATTATTATTATTATTATTATTATTACTATTATTATTATTACTATTATTATCATTATTATTATTATTATTACCTGTATTATTATTATTATTATTATTATTATTATTATTATTATTATCATCATTATCATTATCATTATCATTATCTTTTCGCCACCCAGGCCCCAGTGTGGGTCAGTGACCTGTGCCCGGGTGGGCTAATCCCTGTAAAAAAAAATCTTTTGGTGAAATATGCTGTGGTGGAGATTCATCAGGTGATAAAACTAATGTTCATATCATACAGCACATTGGCTATGTTGAGAACTAGTTTCATTGAGGGTGAACAGATACATTGAGGTTCAAGATATTTGAATAGAAATTTCTTAACTGTGGTGTATTTTGGTTCTTGTGGTTATTTGAGAGTACTGTACTGTACTGTAAAAGGAATTCGGAGAAATTTAATTCTGATTGTATAGGTTTTTGTGAGGAGACACAGAGCAGTATCAGATCATGTAAGAAGGCTGTGTGGGATTTATGGATGGACACAAAGTAATTTAGCTTTTTAAGATGTACAGTATTCATATGTTTGATTTTGAAAGAGAAAACCTGGTATGTACATTAGTTAACATTTATTAGCTCATTATAATACAGTGCTGTACAATAACTGTTATTTTATATAAGATAAGAGGTTTGATTCTGTTGTTGTCAAAGGTGTTCAGTTGCCTGTGTTTACTGTGTTTTTAGTCAGGAATGCTTCAAGCATGACAAAAGGAGAGAACTGTCCTTTGGAACTGGACAAAGACCTGCTTAGTATGTATAACACTTCGTTAATACTGTACAGTATTATAAAAACTACAGTACATTATTGGTAAGGAAGATTAGGTTAGATTTCTAGTCGTATAAGAAAGTATATTGCTTGTTTCCTTATATACTGTATTAAAGTATGACCATGCAGTATAGGTAGAGTAATTTTACTTTCTCACAAGTATCGTAAGCTGTTCTGCCTTCTCTAAATGCTTCTATTATTTTTTTTTATCATCCAATTTATATTCCATTCTCCTGGACAGATCTATTATGGAGTGGTGGCAGGATTTATATTACTGTAATTATAGTTGAGAGATGCAATAGCTACCTTGAGAATTATACTTTTATCTTTGTACCTCAGCCATCATCATCACCATCTTTTCAGGTAGCTACGGGGCTGTATGACTTGGTCAGCTCAAACAGCGACATCGACCATCCTCTCTGCGAAGAATGTACAGATGCTCTCCTGGACTTGATGGATACAACACTGTCCAGGACTCAGAGACAGGCACACATGTCCCAGCAGTTACTGGCCTCCCTGACAGACATGCCTGATACTGATGTTACAGCCTTAGAGAATGAGTTGGCAAATGTTAGTCACGTTAATACTGGCATCCCTTGTTTAACGGTGGAGTTATGTTCCTGAAAACCCCAAGGTTAAGCGAAATTATTGCTAAATGAGGAATAACGCTGAAGTGTGGAGGGTGAATAACAGCTTGAACTTGCAGGGTGGTAAACAGATTACAGTTCAGCACTCCTTAATAGTAATAATAATAGTACAATAGTAATAAACAAGTACGTTATAAGTGGTTTCAAAGTTACAGTATGAACTTAAAACTTTTATATAATGATGTGGTAAGATTTAAATGATTTAGTGAGCATTAAGGTGAGCTTAATTCAAATAAATTTCAAATTGCATACCTCAAAAAAAAAGTATGTTAAACAATAGAATTGATAATAGCATATCATAAAATACAACAGCATATATTTTATGTAAAAAAAAAGGCTCCTTCCACACTCAAACCATCCTCTGGACATGTGACATAATTCAGCCAGGTAATTACCCAGCTGACTCATAGATGTGTGTGTGCATACTATGATGTCACATAGGGGCGAGGGATAGCGTGGCTGGGCTGGTGAGTCGGTGATATAGTTACAAGCCAACTGCCCACAAACATTTGTTCACTTCCCATATATGAACACCCATGCTCTTCAATTTTCTTATTTTGCAGTTTTATATTATATTTTCGTTATTTCTAGATCACATTATAATATTGTAATGATTTTACCTAAACTTTTATAGTTTCATTACATATAACAATGGCAACATGCCATCTCACAGGCCACCTCATCCCCAGTTTTCCCCCCTTCATTGAGTCAAGCTTTTGCTAAACTGAATTTTGACCTTACGTTCAGCAAGAAAGGGTTTAAAAATTACTTTATCACTAAAGCAAATAACGTTAAGCGAATTGATGCTAAATGAGGGATACTTGTACACAGTAAAACTATAGTGCTCTGCATGGTGGTAGTGTTTTATGCTTCACCCTTAAGTGGTGGCCATCAACAGTGAAAGTTAGCAGTAGGGATGGTGGTCATCACCAGTGAAGGTTAACAGTAGGGATGGTGGCCATCATCAGTGAAAGTAAACAGTAGGGATGGTGGTCATCACCAGTGAAGGTTAACAGTAGGGATGGTGGTCATCACCAGTGAAGGTTAACAGTAGGGATGGTGGTCATCACCAGTGAAGGTTAACAGTAGGGATGGTGGTCATCACCAGTGAAGGTTAACAGTAGGGATGGTGGTCATCACCAGTGAAGGTTAACAGTAGGGATGGTGGTCATCACCAGTGAAGGTTAACAGTAGGGATGGTGGTCATCACCAGTGAAGGTTAACAGTAGGGATGGTGGTCATTTTACTGTATGCACCGTCGGTCAGTAATATACTGTTTGATTTTGTTGGTGTTTATTGTCTCAATACAGAAGGCACCAATACCTGAAATGTACAGAACAGGAATTAACACACATAGGCTACACCATCTCACACATATACTAGTACACAAACTCCAATGACTATACACTTGGAACAGTACATCCATCATCAGTGAAAGTAAGTAGTAGAGACAGTGGCCATCATCAGTGAAAGTAAGTAGTAGAGACAGTGGCCATCATCAGTGAAATTATAAAGGAGGGAGGGTGGCCATCATCAATGAAATTTAAAAGGGGGGAGGGTGGCCATCATCAGTGAAATTAAAAAGGAGGGAGGGTGGCCATCATCAATGAAAGTAAACAGGAGGGAGGGTGGCCATCATCAATGAAAGTAAACAGGAGGGAGGGTGGCCATCATCAATGAAAGTAAACAGGAGGGATGGTATCATCAGAAATTAAAAGGAGGGAGGGTGGCCATCATCAGTGAAATTAAAAAGGAGGGAGGGTGGCCATCATCAATGAAAGTAAACAGGAGGGATGGTGGCCATCATCAATGAAAGTAAACAGGAGGATGGGCCATCATCGAAAGTAAACAGGAGGTGGCCATCATCAATGAAAGTAAACAGGAGGGAGGGTGGCCATCATCAATGAAAGTAAACAGGAGGGATGGTAATATCATCAATGAAAGTAAACAGGAGGGATGGTGGCCATCATCAGTGAAAGTAAACAGGAGGGATGGTGGCATCAATGAAAGTAAACAGGAGGAGGGTGGCCATCATCAGTGAAAGTAAACAGGAGGGATGGTGGCTACCATCAGTGAAAGTAAACAGGAGGGAGGTGGCCATCATCAGTGAAAGTAAACAGGAGGATGGTGGCCATCATCAGTGAAAGTAAATAGAGGATGGTGGCCATCATCAGTGAAAGTAACTGGAGGAGGCCATCATCAATGCTCATCAATGAAAGTAAACAGGAGGGAGGTGGCCATCATCAATGAAAGTAAACAGGAGGAGGGTGGCCATCATCAATGAAAGTAAACAGGAGGAGGGTGGCCATCATCAATGAAAGTAACAGGAGGGATGGTGGCCATCATCAATGAAAGTAAACAGGAGGAGAGAAAGCCATCATCAATGAAAGTAAACAGGGGATGGTGGCCATCATCAGTGAAAGTAAACAGAGGAGGGTGGCCATCATCAATGAAAGTAAACAAGAGGAGGGTGGCCATCATCAATGAAAGTAACAGGAGGATGGTATCAATGAAAGTAAACAGGAGGGAGGGTGGCCATCATCAGTGAAAGTAAACAGGAGGGAGGGTGGCCATCATCAGTGAAAGTAAACAGGAGGGATGGTGGCCATCATCAGTGAAAGTAAACAGGAGGGAGGGTGGCCATCATCAGTGAAAGTAAACAGGAGGGATGGTGGCCATCATCAATGAAAGTTAGCTGTAGGGATGGTGGCCATCACCAGTGAACGTTAACAGTAGGGACAGTGGCCATCATCAGTGAAAGTAAGCAGTAGAGACAGTGGCCATCATCAGTGAAATTAAAAAGGAGGGAGGGTGGCCATCGTCAGTAAAAGTTAGCTGTAGGGATGGTAGCCATCATCAGTGGAAGATAGCTGTAGGGATGGTCATCAGTGGAAGATAGCTATAGGGATGGAGGTCAGTGGAAGTTTCATGTTGCTTGTGTTCCATTTTTGTGTGTACAGTATTTGGGTACAGTAAAGGGTTAAGATCACAAACACAGTTAAATTTCAGTGTTCTGTATTGTGCTATTTCTTAGCATTAGATTAATGGTACAGAAAAACCTCTTTATGACACTTTTGCCATGGACTTACCTGGCTCACTGTTAAAATAAAAATGGAGTTTTAATGTAATGTTAAAAATAAGACTGCTGCATATAGGGGTTTGAGTCAGTGTTTGATGCTGAGAAGAGTGTGTTGAGTGGATGAGAAAATACTTCAGTGGCAGAGAGATTTAGGGAGACTTTATGTAAATGAACTGTGAAAGTGTTAGCGTGGTGGTGTGATGGCAACAGTGTACAAAACATTTGCATTCAAATACTATATGTGCATCTTTTTTCTTTACCAACACCTAAAATATCACTACAGGTATCTCCTTTATCAGCAAGATTTTGATGAAAAATTTCTCATGTTTTTGCCATCACACCTCTTGAACTGTGTTTGTCTTAAGAAATGATTCTTTGTATCCTTCTGAGCTTCAAGACCTATGACCTTGAGCCTTGGATTGATGTTGTTCAATCAAGTGTTGACTTCACAGCTCCAGCTAGAAGAGGAACGACTGATCAAGGAGTTGGCTGAGGTAGAATCTGAACAGGATGCTGCACAATGTGTTTTGGAGAAACACGAAGAGGAGAAGGCACGACTTGAGGATGAGGAGGAGCGTTACTGGCGGGAGTATTGCACCCACAAGTCTCAGCTCACAGCCATGGAAGATGAGAATAGAAGGTAAGACAGTTAATTGTGGCCATGATGTTGTGCAGTGATCGGTAAATTCTCTATTTCCCCTTTCCTGTCATCACATTATAATTATACCCACCTTCACTGCTTAACTTAAAAAAAATCTACAATTCATCATTTTATTGCACCTAATAAATTAAATAGTTATGCTCATTTTCATTCTTTGTAACCAAATTGTTAATGATTCAGAATTATATGCTACTGTTTTTACCTGTTACCCACTTACATGCCCACTGCCCGACCTATCCTCATTCATTCTATTCTTTCACTTTCTTCATGGAGTTAAATTGTCTCCCTTCAATGCTTCTAATTCTTGTGTTCTTTTTTCATTCCCCTGGACAGACGTATTATGGAATGATGGCAGGTTTTATAGTACTTATGGTGGAGAGATGCAATACCTTGAGAGTGATACTAACTACTTCTGGTGACATGCAAAGCACTTATTAGTCCAACCTTGCAGTGCCTTTTATGACTCACAAATAACACAGAGAGTCATCCTTCTAAATCTTCTGGCCCTCAAAACTTTACTGTGTTATTAGAATACTGTATTCTTGGGAAATGTGTTCCTTTAAGAATAAAATATACATAAACTTTTATTCCTTTTAGTTTGAAGAGTCAGCTGAGCTACACGCAAAATCAGCTTGAACGACTGAAGAAAACCAACGTATTCAACACCACTTTCCACATCTGGCATTCGGGGCATTTTGGAACCATTAATAATCTCCGGCTGGGTCGTCTCCCCACAGCTCCAGTCGCTTGGCAGGAGATAAATGCTGCCTGGGGCCAAACCGTCCTTCTCTTGGCTTCACTTGCTAGGAAAATTGGACTTAAATTTTCAAAGTATAGATTGGTTCCTTATGGCAATCATTCATATATTGAGGTAAGTTTTATTCTGAAAAGTACAGTTATTAAATAGAGTATAGATATGTTCCTTACAGCAGCTAAAGTATAGAATGGTTCCTTATAACAGCCAAAGTATGGTTTGGTTCCTTATAGCAATGATTTAGTTATTAAGGTGAAATATAACTGACATAGTGACATTGTTGTGTTTTACAAATCAATTTTAGGAACTTTCTGAACAAGCTGTTTTCAGTATTTACAAACTCTCTTACACCCAATATTCTAACTGTTTTCTTTAGATGCAAATGGAAAGGAATCATTGTATTCAGGGTGTGAGTGAGGAAAATGTGAGTGCAGACACAGAGCTTATACAGTACAGTACAGCATATACAAATGTTGGTTCAGTTTAGTTTACTCGTCGAATATGTCCTCAGTTTGTAGTCCAACAATGTTAAGTTTAGGTTAGTAAGCTGATGATACAGTTGGTTTCCTTTCAGTCAAATGTGTATCACAGTTAATGACATTATGTTGAGGTTTCTTGTACGCTTGTCCCAAAAAGTACTCTTACGATTTTGTGTGAGACAAAATGACACAATGGACGAAGGATTTTGACAACCCTACCAAGACAACAGGAGTTGCGGTGTTCATTTATAAATTCATTGGATCCCTCTATACAGATACTCTTTTGGAGCGAATGTACATCCAAAGGCAGTGAGACAGTGGCTACGTGTATCTCTTAATCACTTCATGCGTCATCACCACTTTTTCACAGGTTATAGGTGAAAATCGTGAATTGCCATTGTATGGATCTGGTGGATTTCGATTTCTCTGGGATACCAAGTTTGACGCAGGGATGACGGCCTTCTTGGAGTGTGTGGCCGAGTTCCAGCAACACGTTGAGGCACAAGGAGGCCAGGCGGCACGATTCTGCCTACCTTACCGTATAAACAAACACTGCATCGAAGATCCCAATTCCTGCAATTCTATGTCCATTAAGTAAGTGACATATATTCATGGCAGTATAGTGAGGACTTGGATTGGTAGTTATCATCACAGGTAGTAAAACAGTTGTCCTTCCTCTTCTGGCTTTCTCTGTGATCACATCTACTCTACAGCACCACTTATACCAATTTTACACTTACTCAAGCTGCAGACATTCATATACACTCCTGTTTTATTTTGTTTTATTTTCCTTAGGTATTAATTTAAATATAATGATTTATGAAAAAATAATTTGATTTAAATCAACCAACCCTGCCAGAGAGGAGCTGTATTTTTTTATGTCCTGTATTATGTATGATGCTGTATTTAGTGTTTATTAAGGTCTTGTGTTACCAAACTTAACTTTGTATATTGGTAACCCCAAAAATCCAGCACTGTATTGTGACAATTTATCAAAGTTCGGTATTGGAATTTATTTATTTTTTATTAATTTTATACCAAAAACCACCCTATATCATACTGGCTGCTCACCAATTATTTCAGAATAAAGAGTTAATAAAGTAGTCTGAAAATGAGGTTAGGCAAGTGTTCCATAACCCTCTGGTACTCTTGGCCATGGTTGGAAACCTCACCCCCTCACAGTCTTTCGACACATGTTGCGTCGGTAACAGGAATAGTTTTTCCATTTATTAAACATTGGGTAGAGCGATCCAGGCCCAAACTGCACCCTTAGTGACCAATCTGCCAGCCTACAAGGCTAGTGGGAGGAACTTAGGTGGTTGATTTGGCTGGTCCACTGTTCCCGTGTTTCTGCTTATGGAAGGGGTGTTCTCAGTGAGATACATCTGAGTGGGAGGGGTTGGACCGGGACGGGAGTGCTTAACGACGCAATTTGCATTGAAAGACCGTGAGAGGGTTAACAGATAATATACTTTTTATTTTAGTACTGTATTGTTTCCTTGCATGTTATAGTTACTAAGTTAAAGGTACTGTATCTGTCTTGAATTGGTTTTGCCTGGATTGCCCATGGAAGCACTGCTGTAGGTGTTTGTTTTCCTTATGCTGTCTGATCATGTCCTTTGGTTTGGCCAGTCACTCCATGACCCTGTTGGCTATATGGTGACCTTACTTGCCTACCTGGTAACTCTCAAACCCCCCTATGTAGTTCTCCAAAATTATTACTTTTTTCTCAATTATTTATTTCTATTTTTACCATTAACTTTATTTTTTTTGTGCTTCACATTTCTTCACGTGTTTGGTGGCATGACAACACATAAGACATAAACAAATGCTGTTACATTGCAGTTGTGGGTGTTTTGTACTGTAGAGCATCAAGGTGTGGTCATTGGTGATGGTTAGCTTTCAGGATGTACTGTATTGTGTAAGGAGGTTTTTGCATGTACTGTATCACTCAGCTTGAAGTAAGGGAAAGGGCAATTTTATTATTTACTTTGATGAGTAGACAGTCATTTTTAACTTTGTAGAGTGAATGCTGTGGGGATGACGGTTTAAACCATCATCATCGTCCAGAGGATTAAACAATTTTCATAAAGGTGTTAAACCATCATCCATGAGTCATTAATCTATCATCTTCATGTGTTAACTACTGTAATTAATTTAACGTCCTAAAGTTACTAAAACGCTGTTCTAAAGTGATGAAACTATCATCTTCAGAGGAACTAACCATTTTCATCAAAAGTGCTAAGCTATACCAACAAGGAGACCACCAGGACCGACCTCACACAGGAGGTTTCACCCCATTTCTAATGTACATTCCTCTAATGTGGTCTTACTAGGGAGATACCCAGTACACCTGTTTCATTCTACTTAATTAGACATGATATTTATTGATGATAGATAAATACCTAGTCAGGTAGATAAAGAGATATATTACCGGTAATAGACATAGATAGTAATTGGTAAAGAGTGATAAGGTTTAGAAACTGAAGAAAATATGATGTGTCCTCTGTTATCCTAATCTAACCAAACATAGCCTTACCTAACCAAACCTAACCTAACCTTCACCAAGGAAATTGGTTTGTGGCTACTATGTGGTTTAGAAAATGAAGTACCTGTACCCAGTAAATATAATATGTTCTAACCTAAACTAACTTAACGTTACCATACCTAACCTAACCCTCACGATGGAAATTAGTTTGTGGCTAACCTAATGTACAGTCAACCAAAGATGCACTGACCCCACCCTGGGTCTCGTACTCGCAATTTTACCTGGCAATACTGTATTTGGTAAAGTAAGTCTGTATGTAGTGGTGATTGTGATTGGTGATCTATTTTCGGCTGTATCACTGTCAGAATAAATTTTAAACAAACCAAAGATATCTTTTTTATGATTAACTATTCATCATTATTTAAGATCATGAGTTTCCAAACATTCGTATATTTGTTTAAATAATGAAGAAAATTTGATGTGAGAATTTTGTGGCAGCTGTGGTTGTAGTTGAGTTGCCAATTCATGAATATAATTGTTTTCATTATTTAAGCAATTATATGAAAAATTGGAAACTTCTCATGATGTTAAATAATGATGAATAGTTTATTATTATAAAAAAGTTATCTTTGGTTTGTTTAAAATTTATTCTGACAGCGATACAGCCGAAAATAGATCACCAATCACAATCACCACTACATACAGACTTACTTTACCAAATACAGTATTGCCAGGTAAAATTGTGAGTACGATGCCCAGTGTGGGGTCATTGCATCTGGTTGACTGCACCTTACTTAACCTAACCTAGCTTTACCTAACCTATCCTACCCTAACCTATCCTAACCAAAAAGGTCCTAAGCCCAAGTTCCTCATGGTATCTTTAAGTAAGACGCACAAGAAGTTAAACTACAGTTGATGATTTTCATCAGTTAGACAATACATGGATGAAGTAGTTGTATCATGGAACAAACATTGAACTTGATTATTATACTGTACTAGGTTTATCATCAAGTTACTTATTACAAAAGAATTAGAAGATAACGTTATATATTTTGTAATATGGATGATGATGACAATGATGATGTGGAAGAAAAAATGATGATGATATGGAAGAATAGAGCAAACAGAATGAGTATAATAATGACAAGTTTTTACCTCCTAGAGATTGTAGACGTAGAAAATATATTATGTCTGTGTTACAAATTCACCAGGAGAAAGAGTTATAAAAACATTATCAATATTCTTGAATAATGATATGTTTACCTATTTTGTAATTTTGCATGAACCTGAGCAAGTTATCAGTGATTTATGGGAAAACAAAAAGAAGCTAATTAGTCGCAAGATACGATCTCTCCCCTCCCCTCTCACATCCTGGAAATTGAAGAAAACACAGCTGTCAATCTTTAACTGTTAGGGTCAATACTCGTAAATACTAACGTTGATGCTGGGCGTGTCAAGTATTGTAGTGATCTCTTTAACTTGCGATTTGTCACTAGAGTTGTCCACTTCTTTCCTTCTTCTTGATCATTATATTTAACCCAAATTGTGTTTCCATGGGCAATGAGGAACAGCTGATGGTTTTAATAGTCACTGTTTACAGTAACTCACTGATGAGACAAATAATGTGTAGGGATAAGATGGATGACAAAATTTAGATAAGTTAGTGTTAAGAGGAGAGTATTAATTTTATCCTGTATGATTATTAAGACTGTTCTTTTATAGTTGTAAGAGGAAAATATTGACCTAATCTGACAGTCTATTATCTGGTATGGCCATAAGACTGTCCCTTTCTTTTATAAATTAATTAGAAAAATACTAAGACAATTGATATTCTTTACAGGATCCAGTTCAACACTTCCGAGCAGTGGACCAAAGCTTTAAAGTTCCTGTTAACTAATCTCAAATGGGGACTTACCTGGGCATCTTCAGCTCTCTTTTCTAGTACACAGGGCGAGACTTAGCCCAAGGAATTGATGATGATGATGATTAGTTGAAGGAAGAAAAGTAAGAGTGGAATGAAGAGGAGGAGGAGGAGCTGCAGGAGAAGTAAAGTGAGGAAGAAGAGGAGGAGGAGGAGGAGCTACAGAAGGAAAGTGAGGAAGAAGAGGAGAAAAAAAGTGACTCAAAGTTAGGAAGAGAAGGAGGTGGAGGGAGAAGATGAAAAAAAAAGATAATGTAGATATATAATAACAAGCAACATCCCAGCACAAAATTTAATGAAAAATTAAAATTACCCAAGTAGGATGTCAGTGCCTGAATGACCTCGAGTACAAGTACTTAGTCCATACCACTGAGCTAAATTGTGATACTAGTTATTGAAGAAGTTTTGCTCCCCTTTTAGGATCTCCTTTACTTACAGAATTGTGTTAGAATCAGCCGACAATGTTAAGATACAAGCGACTTGCCCATTTATGTACAGTATTAAGAAACATTATGTGAATAGGTTAACTTAGCTGGTGGTTGATACAATTTGCAAGTAGATTTGAATAATGATGGGCTGATACAGTTTGTAGGGGAACGTAGATAGTTGATCTTACAGGCTGCTCTCTCTCTCTCTCTATGAGATTAATTTGACGAAAAAGGATATTATATTATGCTACTAAGACAGATGGTATCTTTTACAGGATGCAGTTCAACAGTGAGGAGCAGTGGACCAAAGCTCTCAAGTTCCTGTTGACTAATCTGAAATGGGGACTTACTTGGGTATCTTCAGCCCTTTTTTCTAGCACACAGGGAGAGGCATAGGAGGAAGCCATTATTGTGAGGAACAAGTATCCAGAAAGGCTTGGGAAACAATTTGAGGAGAGAGAGACCATGGTGGGGCTGTTGTCACACTTACTGCAAAAACTAAGAGAGGTAGTGTAGTGTCAGAATTTTTATTGGAAGTCCTACTCAAGTTTGCTTGTTTGGAAGACCTACACTGGTTTTTAGTAGTCAATATCCTGCACTGTTGTGTGGAGTTACAGGGAGAAATCAGCTAGATATTGGGGCATTGTGGAAGGAGAACACCATAGCACAGGAGTTAGAGTGAATGATTGAGAGTACTGTAATTGAATGGGAAATCTGTATTTGTTTTGTGTCTGGCCATCCTGCAGTATACTGTATTGAAGCAGGTTTTGAAGGAGTGAAAAAATAAAATAAAAACAATTACAGTATACAGGGGTATAGGAATTAATGTTTTTTTTAACTGAATGGCAATACAAAAAGTGAATTTACACTGTAGAATTCCGTATTAATTATCTGTAGTAACTTCCTGCCTTCCTATTGTAAGTACAGTACTACTGTATATGACCCTGAAGCTAGCACCCAAGTCTTGATATGTTTGGTGGGTCAGCACAAGACCGAGAATATTAACTGGAAAATTTTTTCTATAACCCAACTACAGTAGTTAACAATGCTTTAGGTAAGTTACATTTGTTAGAATTGTATGTGTGTCAAGCAGCATAAATATATCACCAGATTTTTGTATACAGGGAGAGTAAGATAAATTTTGGTGGGAAGTGATGAACAGCAGTGTTATAGAATACAAGTACAGTATTCCTCTTTTATTGGAAAGGTTCTGTTCCTGAAAACTCTTGTCATGTGCAAAATAGCAAAATGTCAAACTATAATTTTCCCACGAGAAAATATTTTAAGGGGTGATGCATAATTGGGCTGATTTTTTTTGTACAAAGCATTTATAAATCGATGAAGGATCATGAAATACACACAAATACATAATATAATAGTTAGAAATACTCTAGTTAATCCATCCTAGATGTATGGGATTGAAAGTTGGAAATGGAACGATGGAGACCATTCTAAAATTCAACTGTTGAATTACTAGAGAGGCAATAAAAATTGCATGCAAGATGCAGAGTGGCTATGGAGTCTCAGATAGGTTAGAAGAGGTTCGTTGATGTGATTTGGATGGTGGTCTGACTTTTTGTCACTGGTGTATTGTATATCATGTTATATTTACTAAATTTAGATGCTAATGTTATTATTTTGGAGGTGATGAAGCAATGGTTAGGTTTATTCTGAACCAGTGTCGAAATGTTCTAGAACCGATTTAGAATGGGGAGAAGAATTTAGGCGTGTAACGAATGTGTAGGAGTATGGTAAAAGGAAACACAATGGTAGGAGGTAGACAGCATGCAGTAGCTAAATGAAGTATTGTATGTGAGGGAGTTGTGTTGTAGAGGGAATGGAATAAGTTTAGATAGACAACTGGTATTTAGGTAGGAAGATTTCTTCTTATGTTCATCCCATCAACAGAGGCTCCTGTAAGAAAATGAGGCATGAGTGGTACAGTCTCGTTCAAGATTCTTCAAACACTGCTGGAGACAGCTGGCAACTCAAGGCCGTTTGTTTACTATAGTACATAGTATAATATAATACGAAACAACAAAGCCCTACCATTAAATTAAGCAACGGGAAACTAAGTAACCAATCACCGATCACTTTTACATTTATTCATAATTTTTACTACGTACTATAGTAAACAAACGGCCTTGAGTTGCCAGCTGTCTCCAGCAGTGTTTGATGAATCTTGAACGAGACTGTACATAAATAGAACAGTGTATGTAAATAGTACAGTAGTAGCAAACGATGAAAATTATAGGACCTCTGAGTGTGCAGACCTTCAGGTATATATGCTTGTAGTAGAAGTTGTGGATTGAGGAAATATTATTAGTGATTGAATTGAGTAAATAAGAAAGTATTGATAGGAAATAGAATGGTGTGGTTGGAGGATATTTGGTGGAAAATTCAGTTTTGTGTTAGATAGGAATTTTTTCATCATTATTATTGTTAGTTATTATATTATTGATTTTACAGTAATATTTTTATTATTATTACAACTGCATCAAGATATATTAGTGTTTATTCCCAGGGGTAGATACAGTACATGCAGTATATAAAAGAAAAACAAAAGGATGGAATAATAATCGTGACTAGATTTACATTAATATTTTATCAGATACAGTATATAATTGATACTACTAACAGGGTACAGATATTTAACCACTGAGTATTATATTGTACCAGAAAATGGGGTGCTGAGGTCTGCCAATCAGTTTAGGCTTAGTTAGAAAAAGTCGCTCTTTTAAAACTAATTTGAGAGGAGCTAATGGTGTGGTAAATATTATTTGTACTTCGATGGTTTTCACCCTAAGTAGTTTTTACTTTGTGTTATCCTATACAGAAACTAACTGTTGATTACTTTTAATTTTATTATGATTGGGATCATAAATGAGGTACAATATTTGACGAGTGACTTGTGACAGTCTTGTACTTTACAGTACAGTACTAGAATACTTCCTGAGAGAGACAACCTCACCCAGGAGCTTTGTGTTCTGTGGCCGACTGCACTGTGTTGTCAGAGGGTGTCTGTTACTGCGTAACTCATAGTGCATGGGGTTGCCTCTGAGCAGAGTAAAATCATATGGACATTTAACCAAATAAAATATGAAAAGTGGCATCCCTGTATTGATGGGGTTAACAGCTGCTCACCCAGTGAACTAATGCTAGTGAACCAGAACTCCAATCCTAGTTCTGTTGTTGTTTCAAAAGCTGACAAGTTTTCAGTAATTTGATATTGATATTAAAATGGTTTACTTAGCCAGACAAATACAAATACAGATACAGAGTGGACAATAAGAACAATATTGACTTGATGAGCCAATTAAGAGCCTGAAGCCTCTTAGTGGCACCTGATAAGAGCTTAATGAGGACAATGGTGTTTAAGGGGTATGTTTATCTCTCTTTCCTTCCTCAGAGTGACAGAGTTTGTGTGGTAATATGTGGAAATACATTACTGTATGGTGTTATTAGACCAACTTCCTACTTCTGTTCATCTAGTGACCCAGGATTGTCAGAGACAGTGAAAGTTATTTAGAAGAGGTTTCTCAGGCTGTAGTACAAGTCAGGAATGTCTATGAAATCCATACTGGAGCAAGGTACTTGATCCTGATCAGAGGTCTTCATCTACATGTATTTGAACAAAGAATTTTTGTATCTTGATGGAGGTGGTGGGCAGTAGCCAAAAGTTAGTCCTCATTGGTTTTGTGAGGCACGTACTAGTGCTTTTTAGATGAAACATGACATTCCTTACTATTCTCGGTTGTTTTGAAAGCTCTTGTCACCTGTCCAATGACTCAAAGGCTATACAGTAAATCAAAGCTGAAAGTATGAAATCCAACTTTATAAGTAAGGAACAGATGAATTAAGTTCCTCCTCCTTATCCTGATGGTGTTCCTTAGTGGCAGGGAAGTATAGGGGTAAAGTTTGGAGTATACTGTATTTGTAACCATAAAGTGTCTGAGAAGATGGCAGCAATTCTAGGGTACACACCACACTAAGTGTACCCATAGACTCGCTGGCCTTCAAAACAACTCTAGGATATGGGTTACGCTTTTTTTCTTTCTTTTTTTTTACTGGTTCTGAACATGAGTAGCTGTTGAATGGCAATTAGGTAACACTGTTCCTTTACCCCTTCACTACAGGAATGCCATATCTTATATTTTATTTGGGTAATGTCAGACAATTTTATTTAGCTCAGAGGCGACCCCGTAAACAAGGAGTTGGGATCAGTACACTCTGCCATTAGAACCTCTGGACAAGGCTGGAATTTTTAAAGTTTCGTGTCTTCCCATCAATAATGTAATATCATGGGGTTTAATATTTTAATCATGGATTTTTGCCCCCACCATGTTCTATGTAAAGGAATTAATGTTTGATTCTTCTTGACCATATTTTTCTTCTTGCCATATTATTATTAATATTGGTCTATAACAGAAGATGAGACAGTGAGTTTGCACACCTTAAGTTTCTACCATTTTTCATTGTTGCTCTGTTAACCTTTTATTTTTTAAGAATTTACTTCATTAAAAAATAGTCAATATTTAATGAAAAAAGTGAATAATTGTGTTGGTGTACATTATGGGCATAACACTGTTAATGGTCTGTGATATTTATATTATCATTAAAATGTAAATACTACTGTAATAAATATCTCTGACTGTACAGAGAGATGGATGAAGTTTTTTGATGTGAACACACTGTACCGTAATTATGGATTTTTGTTTCCAGTACATAATACGGTACGTACAGTGTGTTCAAGTGAATAATATAAAACTGAAGTAATTTCTTCTGTACTGTACGTGTATTAAATTTCTCTATTAATGTGAAATGTCAACATATAATTTCTGTTTATATACTGTAATTTATATGAAAAATAATCTGTTTTGTTAATGATACATTCTTGAATTCAATTGATTGATGGTAAATTGTTATTTAGTACAATAAGCATATTTTATATTTAAACTTTATACTGTACTATACTGTATGTAGATTTTTTTGCATCTTTGTAAATGCAGGACTGTAAATACAAGAAAAATGTTTAATTCTGTGAAACTCCTGTACTATCAAATGCTAATTTTAAATCTCATTTCTACTGTTCTGTGTGTATGGTACTTCATAGAGTAGTCTGTTCACTCGAACTTTACAACTAAGGCCTAGGGTCAGTTAGTAGGAAGGTAACTGATTGGCTGGCAGAGACACCCAAAGAGTCACTCCAGTTCTTTGGTATTTAATCTAACATATTTATACAGTATTCTGATATTTTAAGGAATAATAACTTTTCTGTATTGATCTCTGATAAATTCTGCACTTGGTGAAACAAAAATGAGCCTGTGAAATGCTCACTAACACAAATGCAAAGACATCTTACAGTGGAGGATGTCACTGAAATTTTAAAATCTTTTTCTTGTTCTATTTATGATATTTGTTACCAGTTCAGAAAGTATCAGAGATCAACACATTATCCCTTCAAATATCAGAAAATAAATATGATAGATTAAATACCTGCACTAAAGAACTGCAGTGACTCTTTGAGTGTCTGTCCGCTAACCAATCGGCAGCCTTGCTACAAACTAACCCTAGGCTTTGGTTGCAAGGTATGCATCAACAGTCAATAGTTAATGGTGAAGCTGGTGTGAGGTGGATTGGTGAGTACACTAGAACTGATTTACATACTGTAGTTGGTTGACGGTCGGGTCATTTTTCTGTGCAAGGATTATTAATACGACTGCTGTTTATTCAAAAGACATTTACTTAGCACCATTTATAAAGCTTGTGACAAAAGATTTTGGAATATGAAATTTACTTTGTACAATAAATTCCATAAAGTTTCATATTAGAAATAATCATAATTCATAAATTGCACCTCTGAGAAAATAATCAACAGAAATGAGCCAACCAGGTACTCCCTGAGCACAGCTGATCAGAACACAATAATCATGTTATATCTAATGTTACACTGGTTACCAATATAATACAAAATACATCTTTAAATTTCTCTACAAAACTATAATGAATTTTGTATAACATGAGAACCACATTAGAGCAAAATAACCAATCCTGTCTGAGCTTATACTGTACAGTACAGGACCTTATGTCACTGAGGGGTCACATGAAGGTCAAGTGTTTTATATAAGAGACACTGACAATATAAACACAGCAGTAATTAATTAAAAACAACTCTTCAGACAATCTCAAATTACTTATAAAATTAATAAAACAGTGAATGATATAACACAATTTTCTCTGCATCTTGCTGTTGGAGTTTAATGATATATAGTTCAGTGAAACCTCCATATAATTCGTTAGATGGGGGTTTCACATCTAACGGACCTTCGATATAACAGACTTTAATCTCTATAACGTTCATTAGATGAAGGTTTGACACCTAATCAGTGGCAGACTGACCCACCGGGATACCGGGAAATTTCTCGGTGGGCCCCAAAGTGATGGTTCCTTTGACTACGTTTTGGGATTAAGTGGACCCTTTTGAGTGGGCCCTTTTACAAGTTTTCCCGGTAGAAATTTTTGACCCAGTCCGCCTAATGGATCCTCGATATACAGGTACTAATGGACTTTCCTTTTCATATAGTCAGTAAAATAGAGGTTTCACTGTAGTCAGAATTTTTTTAGAGACATTAGAATATAAATTTTTCAATTTGTATGAAGTAACAATCATCACAATTACCTACTAAAATATAAAATTAAGAACTAAATATTATTTGTAAATTATTGGCTTTGATATTTGGAGTCAACAATAAACTAAACATGTTAAATGAACGTAGATGTCCCTGTCTGTAGGTTTACCAGTACAGTATTTGTGAATCAGATACTACAACTGGTTCTCATCCACAACACATTGTATAGCGATGATACACACACACCTTAGAGTTCCATTAAATCATCTTAAGTGACAAACATTATGGAATAACTAAAAAAAAAAAAAATGCTCCATTACATCTATGGCTTCTGTTGGTGAATTGGTTCTTGGTCATAACACACACACACCAGTTAAAAACAAGTCTCATTGATTTATCATGTGTGGTTTAACAGCCATGAACCTAATGCAAATATGTTACTTATAGACAGACACATGAAGGAAGAAGTGTGTACAGTGTGGGGAAGGGCATAATAATGAGACTTAATAATTAATGTCACTGTTCACTGTAAATATAAGTGTCTTGTGCCCATAATATATGAGTTTGTACAGTGGCATCTTGTATTAAGTAAGAAGATAGTTTATTGAGGAACACTTAAACTGGAGTGGTGGATACAGCTACAAGCTAACACTGTACCCGTATTTCCTGCACAAAACACAGTAATTGCAATCTGGATTTTATTCTCACTTGGGCTTGACATAAGTAGGGTGTTGGTTAGCATGACCCCACTGAATATGGCAGGTACTAACACTAGACCTGGGGGGAATGGCCCTCACTTGACCTCTTAATTCATAACTGCTAAAACTATTCAGTATAGATATAAGTCAATCAATTAAGGTGTCTTCTTTACCAAATTATAAAGTAACTACAGTATATGTCATTACAGAACCACAAAATATTGTTCCTGAAACTTTATTTAAAAATCACAGATGATTAATGAAACAATTATCTGATGTTCATTGTTTGTTTCTTTGTGGAAGATAAGGTTCAAAGTGTATACTGTATAAAAAAACAAAGTGGATCAGACCTTAGGGGTTTGTCCGAATGTCCTTAAGCTGCTACAAACACCAGAATCATTCATAGACATTGTATAAAACTAGTAAAACATATTAAAACAATACTTTAACTCTAAATCAAGAGAGATTGCACTAATGTAATGCACATAAAAACCTTAACATATTCCTGATCAATTTTTAAATACACATTTATTCTGTTCAGTGATAATATTCTCACTGTCAACACTCTTTAAGTCATGATCAATAGTTTTTGTACAGCAATGTCAACAATATGGATATACAGTATAGAAAAGGGTAGTACTGCTAACGTAGCACTCGAAAAGGGTTGCTAAAACCCTTATAATCTTTTATTAAATTGGTTAATAATTATGGTACAGTAATATCCCTGAAAATCTGGGTCTTTGTTCCCTGAACATTCCAATACTAGAAAAAAAAAAAAAACCTGTCCGTTCTGGGCATTCAAATGAATTTCCGAGTGATGGCATCATGTGCCAAGCGTATGGGTGGGCTTACTTACATGGAGAACTTAGGTAGTAGGCTCAGAGTGCTCGTGCACTGAGATTGGCTACTTACTACTGCATTGTCATGTGACTGCATGAGATGCCTATGATTGGCTGATGCATCTCACAGCTGATCTCAAACTCAAGCACCTGGATGCACTTTTAGTTCACTGTCTGCTGTCAATGTACAAGCTTGTTTGCTCACTTGCTGCTGTTTTTGTACACATTCTGCATTGTGTAGAAATGTACATTCTGTATCAGGATACAACTGGCCAAGATTACTGTTAAAGCGATGATAAGACATAAAAAGTCACTATTATACAGTTATGCATACTGTACAATATATTCAGTAAATGAGAAAGTACCGGATGTACAGCACTATATATAGCAAGGTGAACAGTGTATGCCTACTGTAGGCTAGTGTGTGTACGTACAGTATATAGCACATGTACAGTTGCCAGCAAAAGTTCTCCCACAGCCCTGTGTAGCAAGTTTGTGGGAGGACTTTTGCTGGCAACTATACAATCCCTGTCCAACTGTAGTTAAGCACTGTGGCTAGTACTGTATTCAAGTTAGTAAAACCTGCCCAGTTGCTTATCCCTACCAATGGTGATCTTTGCCAGATGCATAGCTTAGACTCAGAAACATTTATCAATGCCCGGAAAAATTTCATTAATGGGTAATTTTTTTTCTCCAGGGATAAGGATTGGTGACAATACCAGGAAATCTCCCTAGCATAGAAACGTTCTGCACCAATTCTTCAGGCTATAGGGATGTTACAATTATATTGCATTCATGTAATACAGTACTTGTCCCTCATTATCTCTTGTTTTACTGGTTTCAATTTTACATAATGAATCATTTAATAATAAGCCCTGGTATACAGGTATGCCTCGTTTAGTGATTTAAAATTTTTAACACCCTTTCTCAATTAACGATCGTCAATTTTTGGTTTAGCAAACTTTGACTCACTGGGAAAAATTTGGGAGGGAAGTTGGAAAAACTTGAGATTGTGTGCTCCAAGTGAGCATCTCTACTCTCATTTATTTACATTACCCACATGCCACCTACCCACCCATGCCATGTACTACTCGTGTTTATCACCTGTTGTTTCATCATTGTCTTCCATGCTTCGCTGTTATCATTGTGTGCATTATCAATCGCTGTGCATCGCTGTTATTGTTGTAACTTTTACGGGTTATTTAGTACTGTACGGAGTTTTCATCTGCCTTGTACTACAGTATTGTGATAATGTTGGGTGCCCATCACCAAGTTCTTTGAGCCATAGCAAGAGCCAACAATGCCAGTCATCACTCTTGCACTCAGCACCTTCCACCTCAGGCGTCACCCACTTCAACCCTAAAGCTCTCACCCACCCAAGACAATACAGACTCTCCAGCCTCATTTTCTGACTCTAGGTAACTGGCCGGTCCTTTGTCCTCCAGCCTCGGAGGGGACACATGATGACTTTGCTTCTGACATGGACTTGGTGAGTGTTACTTTACTGTTGTATATTGTAGTTTATGAATATAGCAAATTCTACATATTTTCCCTCATTTTGCCATTTGGCAATCATTTCACTCCAATTGGGACACAGGGCAGCAAATAGCTGGGTGATCCCCAGTTGCTGCTCTCCCCTCTCCTTCCACCTCCTCCTTGGCTGTGTGTGCTAATTACCGTGTACGTAAGAAATGTTTATTCCCTTTATGTTTTTGACCATACTGTATAATAATTTTTTTTTTGCATATTATTTTGGATATTATTTCTCCATATCCTTCGTTTTACTTAATGATAAGTTTTTTAGGAATGCATCTCATTCATTAAATGAGGGATACCTGTACTGTATCTTGATGATATCACCCAACAAAGGCTTTAAAAGAACAAAATTTTCTGAAAATATCAACAGTTGTATGCATTATAATGAGTTTATTAAAATATTTTGAATATGAACATATCTGAGACAAGCTTCACAAAACCCCTATTGTTTATTTCTTACTATAAAGTTAATGTGATCAACAGGGAGACAAAGTTGTTGCAAATATTGTGAAAATTTACAAGAAGCCGATGATGAATGGTAAAGTAATATTTGTACTGTATACAGTGGGGTATGCTATAACGAATCTAATTGGTTCTAGAACCTTGTTCGTTATAGCATTCGTTCGTTATAGGATTAATTCGTTCCAGGCCCCCAAATACAACCACTTAACACTGAAAAATATAATATAAAATTGTAAAAATTGCAAAAAAGTGCATAAATAAGCATCCAAACCCCTGAAATAAAGAACATCATTAATACTTGTAATAAAAAAACAATAAATTAGTAAAAAAAAAAAGAATTTTTTTTTTTTCTTTTTCTAAATAATGTTCGTTGTAGGAGTTTCGTTCGTTATAGCTATCTCAATTTTATAGGTAAAACCGTTCGTTATAGGAATATTCGTAGTAGGATCCGTTCGTTATAGCATACCCCACTGTACAGAAGAACAAGGTGTTCCATTACTCCTTGAGGCTCACATCAAAGAAATTTTGATAACTAAGAAATCTGAATCAACTTAATAACAATTTATTAAAAATAAAATATTGGTCTATGTTACTGGCTTAAGGAAAATACATACAGGTATTTGATAGGACTGTACATATAACATATTTAAGTACATTATTGAATACAGGTACTATACTGTTAAACCGGGGAATGTAATGAAGTAACAGTTATATCACTATTAATAAGTAATGCTCTGGAATGATCATCAATGGGATGTTTTATTCATCAGGTGGACAGTTTTGGAGGAAAAGGTCTCAGATTAAAGTAACCTTCTCAGAAGTGGTCAACCATCCTGTACAGTACAGTATAGAGAATTACAGATGTCATACAGAAAAAAGTTTCCTTCACAAAAATGGAAAGTACCGGTAGATCCGCAATCTTCTTTTCTGCACATCAATGAATGAGTGAAGGAGTGTGGTATAAGGCCAAATAATGGTGGTAACAAAAGAATCATATAAAGTTTCCAATATGAACATTTCACTCATTCAAAATCACAGCTTTCTTAACACATGAGTGCTAACCAAACAACAACAATCAAGACACTCAGGACAGAAAATCTGATTTTCCATACCTCCTCATACAGTACTATAAGGTAGTACGTACAGCATTAGTCTAGTATGTAAGGCATAACATGACTTGAATGTTGTTAATTTGCTGGTTAATATTCAGAGTTCACACTGAAATATTTTTCATTAAAAAGTGTGGTAGGTGATTGTAGGAACTCTTGACAGCACACACATTTTGTAAGTTCCTAAATAAACTGGAACTACTATATGTGTTCACCGTTCTTTCCATATTTATTTTCAAGAAAAACCTTAAATTTTAGAAATACTTGGTCTAAGTCTGGCTTCATTGTGTCTTTTAAATCATTTATAAATCCATCTACTTTCTCACCATCACTTACTTTTTCCTGCACGAACTGTGTCATGTTTTGAGTACCACCTTTACTTTTATACATTGTGTGACATACCTTTGCATCAGGTAAACTTGTTTCATCATCATCTACATATACCTTAAAAAGATTTCCAATTTCAAGTCCCTGACACTTCAGCCAAAACTGGTACCTTCTTGCATCATTATTATCCATTCCATCAGCTTTTAAATCTACTTCTACTATATCTTTATCTTCTGAGTAACTGCTACCTCGAAGAAACCTGCAATGCAAAGACAATAAACAAATTTTACAACAATTATCAATACCATGCCATACGTCATGTTTGGTTTGTATTATACTATACTGTACTGCTATTTAAAGTTTGACAAGGTAATCATTCTCACCTGAAAAATGCCTCCTGTCCTCTTTTGTTCAATAGAGGGAACTCTGATGTTTTAAGCCAAGTTATCAATTCCTCCTTCTCTTCCTTACTATTTGTGAGAACACCTCGCTGCACCTGAAGAGGCATGAAAAAACATATGATAGTATGTGTGGAAACAGCACAAACACATCTAACCTGTACAAGAAACAAGGTACCAGTACAATGCTCTTGCAATGTTTTGGTATTTGTGTTGCAGTGAATATTGTCTTCAAAGGTTTTATATTCTCATGTTTCTAGCAAAGAATATTAATGACCTCTTTTCAGCCCAGTAAAGTCATTACTGGTGTTCAAGCATCTCAGTATCCATGTCTAGGTCAAAGGTCAAGGTCAAAATTAAAGATCGCACAGTACAAAACTTAATGTATTTAAGGATCTAAAAAAAAAATCCACAATAAACCAACTGATCACTGAGGGGTTAATAAATTATTGTATTAAACACAAATTAGGGAGACCTGATTTGACCTCTGAAATACATAATTAAATTATCAATAGAAGCATTAAGTGCAAGAAAATAGTTAGAAGACAACTGAGAGATGATGACAGTAATTTTCTGGCTGAAGTGACAAAGTAATGATGTCTGAATAATGCCAAGAAGGGACAAGCAGCACGGTACAGTATGTTAAAAGAATAATGGTCACACTCCCTGGTCTATGTGTGAGGCATTTATAGCCAATCAGTCAGTGTTTTAGTGCCTACAATGATTCACAAGAACTTTAATGACAACTTGAGAAATTAAACTCAAAAGACGACACCAATATTAAAACAATTATCTTTGAAGTTCACCATCTTCCTCTTCAACTGTCAATACAAGGGACTGTAGGAGCCAGTCTCAGCCAAAAATGATTCTTTCAATACAAGTTTGTCTAATTAAAAATGTTCTGTCAATGATTCTTGAGCCACGTACTGTATTGTATCAACTGAATTCAACAGAAAGCAAACATGCAAGACTAATTCACCCACACATGAAGCCCACTACCCGGTAGACACAACTTAATGTAACGCCAATCACGAATACAGCTTTGTCTATGGTGGATGAGATAAATTATGATAAAATTACAAAATACTGTACATGATTTTGTGGGTCCGGTATTCAACTTTATAGTCAAGTTAAATAAATCACCATTTTTAAGAATACGGGGTACGTATTACAGTTAATTTTGTTGTTCTAAAATTTATGATTCAATACAGTCACTCAAAGTGGAATTTGCTAGGTTCACCCTAAGCAAATTATTGAAGAAAAAATCGACTCTGTACTGGAAGGAAACACCACTCGGAAAAAAAACACCGAGAAATTGACAAGATGGTAAATGTTAAGAAATCAGATTTTATCTTGTAAGGCGTTATCAGTCAGTTATCACTCGTAATCCATGACTCACCTTCCCTCACACATTTAGCACCCCCCTCTCTCGCACTCTCGCCTTCACCACACCCAAACACTGAGAGGTGCTGTGCTGTTTTTTCACCACATAGTTTATTACAGCACCTTGGCGAGGCTGGTTACTTATACCTGATCAATAGTTACCAGAACTATTTTCACCCATATAACTAATAATAATAAAACACTAATGTAGGCAGAGGACACAAAAATCTGTTATCTCACCAGTATTTTATCTTGTGAGGCGTTATCAATCAGTTTATCAGACTCGTTATCCATGACTGTCACCTTCCCTCACACACTCACACCCCCCTCTCGTCTCCACCACACCCAAACAATGACAGCTGCTGTGCTGTTTTTTTTTACCACATGGTATATTACAGCACCTTGGCGAGGCTGGTTTCTTATGCCTGATCAATAGTTACCAGAAATATTTGCATCAGATTAAGGATGAAACAATGGCAAGGTCTTTATGGAATTACTAAATTGCAACCGTTCAGCCCAGGGCGGATTGTCTGCAATACTTGATTTATTGTTAACAAATAAATATTTATTTCTAGTTAATTATCCCTTCTTCTAGAGCAAGTGTAAACAACAAAATTAATTATCAGTAATAAAATGTATTGCTTCAACCAATACCCATTTTAATAAGCAACTTTCCAGCTCCTCCCCTGGCGGCGGCTTAAGGAACCAGTATCGATTATCTGGATTCATGCCATATAGTACATGAATATGACTGTCATTGCTGATATTATCGACTGCCTGTATACAGTATACTGATCTATATGTATAAGTGTGTGCGCACGCGTGCGTATGTGACCATGGTACACTTATGAGCGTGTACACGCATGTGCAGACATGGACGACTGTGCATGTGTAGTTCGCTGTGTGGGTATGTATGATTATTAATCGGTAATGTTTATTAGTATTAGCTGTGTATGTGATCCTTGTATGGGCATGAAAGAACGTGCGCGTGTGAGAATGGGTGAGGTGTAGATACACGTGCAGGTACAAGCTCTGACAATTACGTCCAAACTACGACAGCGGAAGAGAGGAACTCACTCTATGTCTGACGGCTGGAACAGCCCAGAGCGTACTCCCCCCTCCTACGTCACCTCCATCACCACCACTCCAACACCTCCAGCTCATCATCAACCCAGCTCCTCTATGCTCACCACCACCACTGCACAGCTCATCCTTCATCACACATCATCACTAGGTTCTTCCACTTCTTATTTAAGGAATTTCCTGCCCTCTGCATTTCTACCACCATAAACCAAGTTATTGAACATCACATACTTCTTATATTCATTTTGAAGCAGGTTAGGTTTGGATACAGCTGATGACGTTGCTCACATATATTTAATTTACAGAATACGCCCCATGACTCGCCACCAATGCCACACATATCATAAACTGTTTTTGTCTGTTCATTCAGTCCATCAATGACGACTTCGAAAAACTGAAACTTTCAGTCAGTGTCAAGATTAAACTCTGGTTATGTTTGTTCTCTTCCTTTCTCACATAACATTACAGACTGACCCGTTGTTTTCACTCTCAGCACTCAAAGAGTGCACGACTGTATCCACCAATAAGATTTGACTGTCACTACCCCCCAACACAGCGCTCTCGTCACTGCTCGGTAGTGGTTACAGCTTACAGCCAGGGTAAACTGGTCAATGTCACCGTAGGTGGTTATGATGGTACAGTAACAGAATGCTTAAGGCGGCGATACAAGTTAAGGTTGTGACGGAATGTAAGGCAGAAAATGGAGGAGGCGGCTGACACCGGCAGCACGTCACAATGAGACACCACATCGATGAATGCCGCCACCCAAAAGCCTCCCAACACGGACAACCTTCACCTTTACCAGTGTGTCGCCTACATTTTAAATGATTGCAATCCTCTAACTCACCATATTAGTAATACATGATCTAAATCTATTGCTTGTTAAAAAATGAGCTATGCCGAGTTTATTTTAAACAGTGAACAAGTAAATAAAAACAACGAAAATATATATAGTACATTCACGAACAAATCCCACTGCCCTATACTGCTGTTTTCACACCATATACGATTAAAAAAAAGTAGGGCATGAAAGATGACAATTATGTGGTAAGAACTAGTGCGTTCGCGTTTTGTCTTAAACTATAAATTTATGATTCGGTCTTTACAAACTTTCAAAATAACGACGGAGGCTCTTATCAGGGTTTTACTACCATAAATATTGGCTTGATTGTCTTGTTTTCAATGGCTTCACTTTCCTGGTTTTCTTGTTTATTGTCTACGCATATGTCTATGCCCCCATTCTTTTTTCTTCGTGCAATTGGTTCTTGTACCTATTCTATGCATAAAAGATGGGATTCATATAGTTGCATTCGAATTCCATATTATGGGTTTGGATACATCGAGTAGCACTGTATTTAAAATAAATATATGTTCATATACTTAGTGTTCTTCCTCACGAAGGATTGAGAAAAATTCGAAGCGTTGGCGTGGTGCTCGGTACTGTATCACAAACAATGTGTGCTTGTGGAGGATGGTGCCCGTCTCCAATAGTTGATAGTTCATCTGTCAACATGGTCTAGTTGGCAGGCCATGCGAGTGTTCAAAAAGTGTCAGAAAGGTGAGAGTGAAAGAGAAATAAGTGTTTCAGTGCAACATTGGATCCGTATTCTTACGTCAACAAAAGACGTAAAATTACTCAATGCCACTTCAAATAAAGAGCTTTCATTGGTATCTGATATCAAGGTAAGTTCTTTCTGCTTAATATGCCAAGAAGTTAGGTAAGGTTTGGTCAGGTTCTGTTCCGTTCTGTGCAGTGTATCGTTTTTATCATCCAAACGTGGAAAAATGAACGAAATCGTCAAATCGAACTGTTTGTGGTGTTCACCGTCTCCTCCAACGACACTATAAAAGGAAGATGTTTGAAAATGGTTGCTCAATAATTTATATATTTTACGAGAATAAAGAAATGCGAAAAATGAAACCAAATTATGGACAAATCAATTAGAGCTGGGTGAGTTGAACAAGGAGCAGTGGAGGAAATATGTACCAATAGTGTTATCCAGTAAACTTCCCGTTTTTGATAATGATATCCAGTCTTGTACAACAAATTCCTTCAAAGAACACCAATATTCATATTAAGTTACAATAAACTGTAGAGTCGTTTCTGAAAGAAAAAATTCCAACCTATTTTTCTTCTATACCCAATAACCTTCATCCCGGAAATCATCGAAATTATCTAGAAAAAATATATATTCTCGAATCAAAATATATTATAATTCGCCATAAAAGGAAAAATAGATCAATTCTTCTGGAAATATAACAGGCATCCAATAATTAATCCACTAACAGTTTACGTGCACCAACTGCCACGCTGGGAGCTCTTTTTAACCTTCAGTTGATATTATGGGCCAACGAGCACTACCTGTATTAAAGCTACATATATTTCTTTTAATTTCATTATAAAATTACTGTACTGTAAATAATTTTGAATCAGCTAAAAGTTATATATGCCAAATGGTTTTAAATGTATCATTTCAATATGTTATTCTTAAACCTTTCATATTATTCATAACTCTTATTGGATCACCTGAAGAATCGTCACCCCGCCCGCAATTAATGTAAGCTAACCAAACCTGACCACAACTGAGGATTCGTCATAGCCCGCTCTGGGGTGACGATTCTTCAGGTGATC